TCAAGTTATTAACTGATATAGCCTTTACATGGCACAACATTAGAAAGGAAAACACCGAGGAACCGAAGGAATGGTGTTGATAGACAAGAAAGGAGCAATGACCTTATGGCAATTTCCATATCCACTTCCTGGACACCTAAATTTCCACTGTTCAGGCCACTGACTCCAAGTTAACTACTTCTCTCTCTATAAATTTAAAAATTTTGTCCGTCTGTCTATTAAGGTGACACTGAAAATTACCAGCCACTGAATTAACGTTATTTTAAAATGGAACATAAGCCCGAATTTCTTTTCCACTCTTACAGATTATAGTGAATACCAGCAGATCGCAACCTCCATAATTCCAGCGAAATTCGACATAATAAAGAAGTATAGAACTGCTTCATAAGAAAGTATTTACAAGGGAAGAAGCGATATTCATTCATAACAAAAATTATTTTACTAAAAAAATCCTCCCTTGTCTTAGTTGTGCGCGTTCTGGATTTGAGACATTTATGCCGGATGACAATTTGACAATCCAAGAGGATGCAACCAAGCGGCCAAGAATTATTTTCATTTAAAAACGTAAATATTCCAACGAAGTACAAACGCAATGGAATATTTCTTATCCAGAGAACTGAATTATTGGGGCAAAGTAGGGAACACGTGTGTTAAGCACTGCAATTGGACAGATCTATATCTATAATTTATGTCACGAACTGAAATATATTGCTGAGGTAAGGAATGTGGAATGCATCTATATAATGCTTTGAGAAGATACTGTACGTCTAATATGGGAGCTTGCGAGGTAAATAATGTTGAAACACACTGGCTCGTAGTTTCGACATAGAGGAAAGTTTCTTCCAAAATAATCAAGAACGCAAGCATAAATGTGTTCCCTCTAGTGTCTATAGTGAGTTACCACAACCAAAACATGTCTCCAAGACAAGGACAACAAAACAGTTTTAGTCTTACCAATACCAACGCTGGTCCACACGAAGGTAAGGTCGGCAAAGAAAAAATAAAATAAGGCTGAGCAAGTGAAACTCATGTTATAAACAATGTTTCTTGTATTCTACTGCTTGGTACATGTTGATCCGAATTTCTAAAAAAAAAAAAAAAAATAAGCATGTCACAAGAAAGCAACATCGTAGTGTAACACATGTGAGTATATAGTGAAGATAGCAGGCCTATCCTAATAAAAATTCAAAAGATCACGTAATGTAGTGGTCCGGCCGCGCCATAGCTCAAGCGGTTAGTCTCTGGCTTCCCACCGCGACGGCCCGGGTTCGATCCCGTGTCTGGTCAAGTGGGATTTGTGGTGAACAAAGGGGCGCTGGGGCCGGTTTTCGCCGAGTACTTCGGTTTCCCCTGCCAATCTTCATTCCACCAAATTCTCCATCATCATAATCACCCGGGGCAGGCTACAATAGGCCAATCAGTGGCCGCCGTGCCGAGTGGACCCAGTTTGACTCCACCCCCCACTAAGCGAAGTGTCTCGAAGGCGCTGGGATTCGATAGGCTGGGCATCTTGCTAATAACGCCCTATTTACTACTGAAATTAATCATCAAAATCATTACATCCTTTTACATGACTGGCAGTTCGCTGAAACGAAGAATAAATGGAAGATACGGACATTTCCAGAATATCTTATTTCAGGTTACCTTGTTCAGACATCACGTCTTCTAACAAACCAGTCTTCTATATCGAGGCAATTTTCCTGGCCTAGATAAATCCGTCAATCTCTCGATTGCTACAGCATTCCGCTTCGTCTACTGCACTCTTTCTTGTAGCATTTCCATGCACATAAACCAATGCTAAAATATATGTTTCCATTTTCCACACTCATTTCCTTCTGTTCTGAGACAGGATAATTGAGTCCATATAGTGACAGGATACGAGGCGGACAACTAAGGAATGGGGGTTCGGTTTCCGGAAGGGGCAAGATATTTTCTCTTCTCCACAACGTCCAAGCCGGTTCTGGGGCACAATCAGCCTCATATCCAATGGGTACGAGGGAGCTATTTCACAGGGGATAAAGTGAGCGGGGCGGAAAGCTGACCACTCACATCCATCTATAGCCGACGTTAAGAATCCATAAAGGTATCTCCACGTTTTCGTATTATGGCGCTTAATGAAACACAGAAACAATTTCATCTTTATAATTTTGTGCTGACCACGCGACACCCTCTATCCGCAAAAGTTGGCATTAACTTCACCGACAAGCGGCGGTCGCTCGGTCGGTATAGTTCGCTTGCGGACTACAGGCCACGGGGTTTGTTTCTGTTTGTATCTTGCTTCTCCTCGTGTTTGTGCCCTCATATCTTTACACGCAGACATCTTGATGATGATGGTGATTATATGAAGTCAGCTTGTCACGCTTTACTTATACGATCGACTTACAGTGGCTTCAAGATCGCATAGTGGACAGGGATCCGCCTTCAGACGTCTGGCCTGAACATTCAGGCTGTCGAAAACAGAAGGTGGACAGGTACGAATGTTTTGGTTGGACCTCCTGCGTCTACTTTCAGGGCAGACGAAGTTATGCATTAGCCTCATTCCTATCATATAGCTCATTTAACGACGTTATAAGTAACTCAGCCATAGCCCTGATCACATCTTCGGTATTTTCGTTCGGGGCTTAATCTCTAATGAAGAACTTGGCTGCTTACAGAGTAAGGAAGCTAGTTTTCATAGTGCAATTAGTCATGCCCACACCGTCTTCCACGCAAGGCGTTCTTCAAACGCAACGCCTCAAAAGGAGATCGGGCATTGCCGTGTGACAAGACAAGAAAACGACACATATTCCTGCTTCGAAGGATAATCTTAGCAACCACGTGGTCAAGTGCAAAGTTAACAAATTGAACACACACCCCCGGTAACGAATCCGACGAAGCCTTTCCACGTAAAATATTACTTCTTCAAGCAATTATCAGCTGTAATATCCCTATACACTCAGAATAAAGCATGTGTGGCAACATCGCCCGGTTTGTAGGTCAAAAGTACACCTCGTAAAGACGGGTTTTTGTTGTCCTCGACGTAATACCTCAGAAGATAAACCTGAATAAGGTGAAGGAAGACCTTGGGTTGTATGGGGTTCCAAGACTGCAACAGCGACTGCTCCGAAAATTTGACTACGTTGTGGCATTTTCCTTTTTGGCCATTAGCAAACTCATCGATATTTTTTCTTATCCTTAGCTTGAAAATATTCAAGAGAAATTTGGTACTTTCTTCTTAAACCCAAAGGTTTAGTGCTGTGTATACAACGTACGTCATTTGACCCTATTCTAAGCCAAACAAATCCCATCCACTTCGCTTCCATAAAATATATTTTAATATTATTTTCCTAAACTAAGCGAAGGTCTCTCGCCTGCCATTTTCCGATAAATATTTTGTATGAATTTTCAGATTCTCCGTATGTACTACGTATATCACCCATCTCACTGTCCTTCACTTGATCGCCATGATACTATTACAGCAAGGTAGAAAGAAAAAATTAAGAAGGTTCTCATTATGTGAATTTCCTCTCCTACTGTTAAAGCCCCTTCTGAACTCCAAAATATAATCTTAAGAAATTGCTCTAAAAACTCTCGACTTACGTTCTTCCTTCAAGGTGAAAATCTAATTCGGTCGGAAATTAAACGATTCTGAGCTGAATATCAAAAAGCATTTCCCGAACTTCGTCTTAACTTCATAAAACAGCCATTATCTACACTTCGTGACTTTTCGAAATTAAGAATTACGATTAATTATGGTGTATATGGTATGGTATATAAAACTACTAAATTGTCGATGGAAACGATGGGGCATTTGACCCTCAGAAGTCATGCAATAAAAGTGCCCATCCTGAACATTCACAAATTTATTCTTTGGAACCAGCGAAGTGTCGTGTTTCCCCAGATGTAAATAACATATTACCAGCAGGTCTGATAAGAAACTCTGCTATTTGAATCCATGACACTGAAATTTTAACAGGTGTATGTTACTTCATAATTACCAGTGCTGTATGTTATTTTGTCAAATTTTCTTTCTGTCGAAGAAGCACAAGAAATAAGTTTCCAGGCCTAATTACGTTTTATCAAAAGCAATATGTTGCTTGGTTTATTTTTCAAGCTTTGCATCCGTAACGTGAAGTGTTAACAAATCTGGTAACAGAATGAAGAGGGTAAATGTTGACGCAAGATCTTAATGAACACTGATTTACTTACCCAGAACGTATCCTTGAACAGAGCAGTCATCGTTCCAGTTTTTACTGACGTCTCTTCGATCTCTTCAACAGTGTATTTCAATCTGCATTAGCTCAGTTAATATTATACACATAAGAACATATTCTATATGGCTAAAAACACTGAAATCTTCACTGAATATGAAGACACTGATAACGTATTTTTCAGGTGATTATCGTTTCTTCGCATTTCTAAAACATAATGGCACTAATATTCACACGTACACCGACTGTATTAAAATATTATGAACACCTTCATTTAGAGACAACATTTCTCGTGTAATTAACGCGGGTCTGATTTAAAAGCATAAGTGAAAATGCGTCAATCTCGAAAGAGACATCTGATCTCCCGGACATGATACAATGAGTAATGGCAACTGAAGATGGCAGAAGCATACAGTTGACGATCCTGCAGCCTAACGGCAATAACGTAAATGAACAGAACTGGTTTATAATCATAAATTCTGGCACAAGATGGTAGCAGCATACAAATTCGAGCGTGCAGTCACCCATAATCGTTCGACATACTCAGTTACCGAATCGACAAGAACTCGTATCGAATATCGTTCTTCCTATCGATCGTGACAAGCGCAATCTAACCGCTCCTTGTTTCACATAGCGAAAAGATGTCGGGTGACGACCAGTAAGTTTACAAATACTAATTATTTAATGTCGTTTGTGTATGCTACCTTTTATAGATAAAATTAAAAAATTGTTCGTATTTAATTTGTTGTAAAAGTAAAGTAAAAAGTGAATATAGTACTAATGCTTGAATAGAATGGTACAGTCACCGCCATCTTTGATTTCTGCCTGCGTTGCGTGTATTGATTGATGAAATTTCCTGAACGTCCAGTTCGTCCAGTTGTAGGTTGTGGAAATATTTTGCATTTGAGACTGCGGAGAGGAAACTTATACTCTAGATCAGTCTTTTACGTAGCAGCAAAGGTTGTTGGTTACGTATAAGAGTGCAGGTGGAACCACGTTGTTTGTAGTGTGGTATATAAGCGGTGTCTGTAGCGTGGTTCTTCGTGGCCTTTGTTTGCAACTTAAATTTGAAGATAATTCAAGGAGCATTGAAAATGGTGCATGAAAATGAGTATGTTCGTATTTAATAATATTAGTTAAGTTAAAACCTCTGTTTTTAAAAGCTACTTGAGTACTGAGTATGTGCGATGGTGCAACCATCACATTTCCTCTGGTGCAGGTTGGTTTTGTTTTATTTTTCCAGGGCTGTGCCTCCCTCTGTTATGTGGGCTCAGAGGAATAACATAATTTTTCTTACAATTTGTCTTGAAGATTGCAAGAACCCCGAAATCAAAATAGACAGCGATAAAGTGTATTTTCATGGAGTTGGAGGGACAGAAAAGAAGGACCACGAAATAACAATACCACTTTTCAAAGAAATCGACCCAGAGGTATTTATACGTTATGTGAAAATTGTCGTAATTTTATTATTGTTTAAGGACCAGAAGTGTATATAAATTTATAATTTAAGAAACATGATTTGTCAGAGTGGTACCCAAAATTAACAGAATTGCTTTTATGAAGCATAAACCAAAAGGCATAGTTGAAATACAATTTGGATTTGATTCATTGAAAGTAGAAATTGTCGTGGAAGCAGGTAAATCCTGCTGTACTCCTAGTAATTTCAAGTTTGTTGCTACTGCTGTTATTTTCTTTGGACAGAAATCAGTAAAATGTATTCGTGATCGTAATATTGAGCTTGTCCTGAAGAAGAAAGAGGAAGATGGACCATATTGGCCTCATCTGATGAAAGATAAGAAGAAATATCATTGGCTGAAGGTGGATTTCAATAAATGGAAGGACGAGGATGATAGTGAGGATGATGTTGGCCAGTCAGAAGACCTTGAAGAGGTACGATTCTCCCTTTCACACATATTGTGGCATATTCTGGGATGAAATATAGCAGCCTCTATACAGTCCCTAATGCAGTTACTGGTCAGACTGAAATATTACTGATCAGAAGACTATATTGTTTGTGAACATGCTATTGTGTTGCACATGTTATATGTAAACAGTGTTAATTATGATGGGGAAATTTATGTATTATAGTTCACAGATATTTACTTAACATAATATGGCAGGTAATATACTCCAGAAAGGCTGCATATGAAATGCCACTGTGGCATGAAACTTGGTTACGTATGGATTTCCTTCAAATAAAATAAACTGAAGATCATCATCCTTACTAGTAACATAATTTGTCAGTGTTCAGTAAGGTACATTGGTGCATGGCTGTCATGATTGATATTGAGAATAATTTTCATATTATCCGTTTCCAAAGCTGTGTACATAGAAATTGTTACACATCTGACAGTCGACAGTGTACAGTATTACAATTTACACTCAATCATACTTACTGTATATAAGTGATGCCGTGGCCTTTCTTTCAGATGATGAGGCAGATGGGTGGCTTGGGAGGTGGCGGCGGTGATAGCAAGCCAAGTTTTGACGACCTTGAGCCAGAGTCTGATTCCGACGATGAGGAACTTCCTGACTTGGAGTGATGGCCTGATATGCAAACAGAACGAAGCAAAGTCATCAATATTTTTCCTCATCATTGCTATTTAAAGCCTGAGATGGGAAAATGGACCATGAAAGTTTAACTAAACCCATTAACAGGCCTGTTGTTCAGCTGTAATTGTTCGTTAATAACAGATTGGATATCTTCTTGATGCAGTTCAGACCACTTAATACCTTCTTCACGTGTGGCATTGCAAGAAGCATATAAGACTTGAAATACATTGCAGTATGGAATATGAATACCTTGCAAGTGCAGGCAACTTCAGTGCAGGCATTAGCCAAAAACGACAATTAATGGGGTAGAAATTTCAAAACAGATTGTATGTATTATTGTTTTGTTAAATTCAAGGACTCTTTACCAAATGTTTTTTTGTCTCAGTGCCCCAGTTGAATGCCGTTATCTCATCGTAGAATATTTTTAGAACTCGTGTTCCATAAATACATTACAAAATTATCTTCGTTCCAGTGGCAGTTTATTGCTAATGTTTTAATTACCACCATTCATGTTTTCATTTCCTTGCAGTGTTTTGCATTCCCAACATTTTTTATTACCATTGCCCAGAGTGGTTCTACTTTCAATGATGATGCAGTAACTTTTGGTTGATCCTGTCTTTGGAGCAGCTGTTCTTATTAAGAGCAGAGTTTTGTCATCACTGTATGAGCCTCTGCCATATTAACAGTGCTCAATTGAACTGTATCCCACACACCCACAGAGATGATTAACCAGAAGACAGCTTATCGAGGCAGTTCCGTGAAAACAGATGCCAGCTTGTTTTCATACTTATGTGTTCTCATTTGTCATGCAAATGTAAAATATTATTTCACTCCTTTTTATGTTCAGGGAATGTAATCATTGTTAAATAAATTTCTAAGTAGAGGTGAAGGTGCATTCCTTAAATGACCGTAAATCGAGATATAGAGCGAAGTATGGTCATGCTCCATGATATGAGAATCTCATCCGATTCATGCAGCAGAACTTCCATATATGTAATTTTTAGTGTCGTCATAAACTACCATATGTTTACATAAATTACACACTGACAATTATTTCAAATAGTTTCAGCCTGATGCCAAGTATAGGGTGTTCAATCAAGGAGGTAACTTTGTAACACTGTTGACTGGGTCCAATATTCCTCACAGATTGCTGCTGTAACTGTAACTGTAAGGGTATGGCCTGAGTGCAGCGGGTCGTGGAGTGTACAGGTCAAACCAGTTTGTGTTTCAGTAGCGTTTCGAAGGTTTCTTTTGAGGATATAAACGCTGAATGCTAGAGGTGCACTGAGGACACAGCAGCGGCCCGCTGCTGTCCCTGCCATAAAGTTGCCCACGCCCCGCCGCACTCAGGCCATACCCTAAAGGCGTGTGTTTATCAGTGCTAATGACTCATTCTGCTATCAGCAGTTACAGTAGCAATCTGAGGAATGTTGGGCTGGGTCAGCGGTGTTGCAAAGTTTCCTCAACTGAATGCTGTGTACTATTTAATAGATGTGATAAAATTCAGCATGTGGCAGGAAGGTGCCTATAAGTCAGAGAACCACGTGCAAAATGGTTGTGACATACTTTTCTGCAGACTGATAGTATACCTTAAACAGAAAAGCTTCTGATTTAGCCAGGCTGTGCTCTGCATGACTGAATTAAAGCGACACTCCGCTAATTTTAAAACATTTCATACAAGAATACAGAGCACCATGAAATATTACGAGGCAAAAAGTTTGATAACTTGTCACCGAAGATCTTTTGAGCCCTGTAAATAACAGAACTGTTTGAAAATTAACATAAAATGGGTTATACTAAGAAGGCAAAACTTCTCTGCAAACAAATAATTTACAGCCTTAATATGTTGACTTTATTGATACCAACAGCTTGCAGCATGGATACAAACAAGAAAAATGGGGGAAAAATTATTTTTACTTTAAAGCATGTAAGAAGTGACATATTTATAACATAGATCAGTCTTTGCGGAGGTTTCCTTTATATTTTTTCTTAAAACATTATGCATACTCATACATTCAATCCCCACCAAAAAAAAATGAACCACACAGAGCACTTGCCCTACTAAGTATAACTGCTCTTACAAAATAAGAACCCTGACACCAATTGAAGAGATCATCAGCACCCAAAGTTGCTGTGTTTGAAAAGATGGGTACATTGTGGGCACCATAATTCTGCACCCCAAGATACAGAACCATTAAAAAATACTGCACCTTTTCATCAGACACCATTATGCTCAGGCAATATCCTAGCATATTTTAATCAAAATAAATTATAGCTGATATATGTCTAAAAACAACAGAAACTTGTGTTATATTAATTAGGCTGTTTATTAGCACTACTACTCAACATGTTTGAAAGGAGATTCTTCCTCTCTTTTGAATATTTGTTACCACTTTGTTTAAATGAATTTGGATAGCTCTGTCAGTATAATAAAAAGCTACGAATGGATACACAGGGTTTGATTCCTGGCAGGGACAAGTAATTTTTCTCTCCTTCAGTGTCCACACTGGATCTAGGGCCCAGCCTTATATTTATTGGATACCAGGGGTGAAACAGACTACATACCATCTACTGCAAGTTCCATAATAGTGGAGCTATATCTCCACTCCCAATAAATCTTCATGGTGTGGTGCTTCACTAAGCACAGGGACAAATCTACCCCCACTTTGTATTGAAATTTTAATTTCTGCCTTCACACATTGTATATTATGATTAATACATACATCAGTGCAAATTTTGGTCATGTTTTTATATGAACATTATGGGGGACCCCAGTTTTAGAGTAACGAGGTCTAAAATTTATGCATATCATAAGAATTCTGGCATTTTCACTGCCTTTGGTTAATTATCTAGAAAGTTTTAAGCTTCAGGGAAAAATGTACTGGACATAGAATTTAATTTTTTCCTAAAATAAATAATTGGAATATTACATGCAAGATGCACACAGAAATATGTGGAAGTTTTATGTAAAATGTCCATTTCTATGACATGATTTTAACTAAAACTGGAATGGGCTGACAAATATTAACCTACCCAACATGAGATTTCATAAAAATCCATTCAGCATAAGTTATTTGAGTGATGGATTGTTGATTTTAATAGGCATTCCACATAGATGTGAATGTACACAGAAGTGACTAAATGTTTTGTATGTTATTACACAGTCTGCCTAAAAGAAAACTCTTTGGGACAGCTTTTTGTTGGAAAAGAAGTTTGTTCCACTTGACTCTGAACCAAGAAACAGCCACTTGCCTTCTGAAACTAAGTCATATGTACAGACTTTCATATCAGAGGGAAAGGAAAGGAAATGCTTAAACAGTCTGATTGGCAGGGACTGGTTATAGCAATTACTCAACCACTATATGGAACATTTACCTCTGCAAAGCTCCACACAGTTACAACAAAAGCTGAACAAGACCAGACTAACTGCAGGTTTCTGCCATGTTGGTACAACAGGTTAATGTAGCCTACACAAGAGTAATTCTCAGTGTGAACCCAACTGTATAAAGGCAGGCCTTCACTGGGATAATGCCCCTGGCAATCTGTTAGGCCAAACTCCACAAAACTTTCTCCAGTTACTCCAATTGTGCTACACTTAGCACAAACATAAAAGAATTTATTATTTAGTGCCCCATCACTTGCTGGAACTTTTATGAAGTTTGTAAATAATAGAATAATGTAAGTAGGAAAAGCCCAGAAAAGTTACTGGTACCTGATTCACCACAGATTCCTATACTCAGGTCAGAAAAGGAATGAACATGGATGGTGGGAGTTCAAGTCACCTGCTCCACCATACCCACAGCTCACACCTGTCCTCCAAAATCAATAACAAACTCAGGACACAAAAGTGCGTACAGATGGACTGAAACCAATGCAAGTGACACCTGGTGGGAGTGGGGGAACATATGCAGGAGGAGATAGTTGCAAGGCAGATGGATGGAGGAGTGTGTGTGTTCATACTTTCCCTGACTCATAAGTCCATGTGGTTGAAAGCTTTCTTAACTTATTCAATGATATTTTTTCAACTACACTTTATATACTGAAGATGACTGTGAATGATGAATTCAGAAGGATGTGAAAGAAAATGACCATGCCATTTTAACAGAAAACAATAAAAAATTTCAGGAAGCCAGTCTCTGGAACACGAGTCAAAACTTGGACCTCCCCAAAAAAACTGGATGAAAAGTGAAAGAATTATATGAATGAATATGCTACTGGGAAGTAGCATCTTTCTTAGTCGATTTAACAACAATGATCATTGCAGAGGACAGTATTAGAAGAGAAATAGAGATGATTATAAAATTGTGTCTAGGAAAGACTGTGGAATGAATCATTTAATGCCCATTTTAAGGTTAAATCCTAGCACTTGCCTGTGAGGTGCTGAGGAGCACTGAAAAACCTCTGTTCAGTCAGCCAATTTCCTGACCAACATCTGAATCACATATATCAAGTGTATAAACTAGGAATGCTAACCACTGCATTGTGCCAACTGGAAGGATGAGAAGGAAATGGTCATGACCTGATTCAAGGTACTTTCCTGGTATTCATCTGGAAAAAGATGAAGAAACCTGTATCAGGATATATATTCTTGGCCCGTTTCCTTATCAAATGCTGACAGATGTTTTATCCTGCAGCTGCTATGGCACTCAACAACACATGAATGTACTCCCTCTATTTACAAAACTATCAAAACAAAAACAGCTGTAACTCAAACCACATCTAACACAATTCCACATTATAGTGAACTAAATTTTAAAGGCTAAAATGTAGAGGAATATATTAAAAATTCATATCAGTATTTTAAAATGTTAAAATCTTTTCAGTGCAGCAAAAAAATAAGAAAGAATGCAACAGAGTCTCTTCTGGAAGTCAGCCATGTCCATATGCATGATATTTTGCAATGGGAGCTACAAATCTTATATAAAAATAAGCATATTACTACAGACTTTTATAAAAATGTAAAAGAGAACAATGTAGTTACTACTAAAATTGCCATAAACATGAAATATGATCCAGCAGTGATTGAGGCTAGCTCTAAGGGACCCAACAGAATAGGTGTTTTCCCTCACCTGAGGACGGAAGCAGATCCAGTTTCCGAAATGCTGCTTTTTTTCTTAGTTATCTTAAAAACCAGGACGATGGATAAAGTCCGAAAACCCAATATCTCTGTGTGTTATACACCATCGTCAGAATCCTATAGTAACTACATACCCACAGATTCCACTGCCTCCCATAACTGAGTAAGAGGAGACCTACAGTTTAGAATTTGCCAGAAAGCAGAAAAAACTTCATTATATTTTGCAGGTCTAAACCCCAAAGCCTTTGGCATATTAGATCAGCACTGTATCCCTTAACAACCCCAACAGAAAGTACCCACTGCATACATGTAATATTCACAGACAAAACCTCTTGGGTAGCACATAAGTTCTACAGATATAGCAAATACAACAGCAGACATGGAGACTAGGATGATGAAACTAAAGTATACTTAGACCCTAAGTAAAATGTAGAGCTGGCATAAATTGTCAAGCACATGAAAAAAATACATAGCACCAATATCAGTCTGACATGCTATTTGGGAAGTTAGGGTCAATAACACAGCAACTTTATGTGACAGAAGGTGTCCTTAATGTCACCCACTAGGAATAAATTCAGAGTGTAGGCCATTATAAAATGCCACAACAGGCTTGCAGCTATACACAGATGTGTACAAAATCTTACATCAAGAAACAGTCTTGAAAAAATGTTATGACAGGCGTAATCCTGCCTCTTAACTTGAAACTGCAACATATTAAGGTCAAGCACCATTAACTTTAAAATTAAGGTCTTCTGGGATGTGAAGCCATGTCCTTGGGTAGATGGATACCAGTGTTTTGGGGGCAGCAGGTTCTTCAAAAATGGCATGGAATCACCTCCCAGAAGACCACAGTCTAATATTCACCAATGTGGTAGTTTCAAATCTCACCATGAAGCTTTATGTTCCATACATCAGTGCAGGAATGGTTACATGTCTCAAGACATGGATTCTTAGAGATGAAGTTCAAAATTTTTATGAAGCGTCAGACACAGAACTATTACAATGGCTCGGCCATGTGCGAAAGACAGAATACAGAAGAGAATGAATACTTTTCATCTGCTGAGTCATATAAAATTACATTTTGAGGGCAAGGAGGAGGAGAACAGATAGCAATAATTTTCTTCAAAAACATAAATATGTGCATCTATAACTGTATTTTTTTTCATTTTTCTAATTGTACTGAATTGTAGTAGATGCACAGCATGAATTTTGACTAAGCGATGTTTCTGCCATAACTGCAACTACAAACTGATACTTAACTTATCTATGTAAGGGGATTTAAATCCCTGTCTTTAACCTGGTATGAGGAAGAGTTTCCTCTGAGAATTTAAATGCAGACATGCCAAATAGCACTGGCTCAAAACCAATAATAGCTCTATTATTTTCTCATTATCAGAATAAAAAATCACCAACTTCAGAACAAGAAAAAAACTCCCTCAGACTACCTTCAATTTTTGCATTTGTTTGTTTACCAGTCAGCACCATCTTCACTGAGAACTGATCTACAATCAACTTTTCCAAGACCACATACTCACAGAAAAACTGATAAATCCAGTCAGTAAGCACACCAAACAATAGCCTTAACTTTCATCTAAAAGAATAAGCAGAATTCATGTGATTCAAATACCATTCTTGACACGGAAGCACAAAGCACAAGGTGTCATCTGCATACATGCATGCATGGCACTCTGCAGTGGCAGGTGGCAACCGCATATCATGCTGTGCACAGCACTCTATACTGATGGGTTAAGTACTGGCAACATGGATGTGAATACTATAAAAGAAAATGTCACAAAATATGATATTGGAGAGTACATATTCAGTGAGATCCTTAACAGTGAAAGGGTTAATAATCATGAAGTTCATTATTGAGACCATTCTTGACTATCCGCAGATAAATTTTAGGAAAATCTAAGCATCTTGATTTTATGATGATTCATGAAAAGATAAACATCACATTGCCAATCACACTAAATAGTAGCCCAGCTATGATTTGAATCAGATAAGCTCAACTGTTACAATTATAACTGAACAGGAGAAAAACGAGAACATGTGCGCATCTGAATGCGGGGGGGGAAGGTTCTGAAGCAGTGTCGCAGCTATACTTCACCCAGACGTACACACATACACATACACATCACTGTTATGAAATATAACCTTCATCTGTTGTTTTCTTCATTCTTCTGTAAATAGAAATATCATTGTCACTCATCAACACCCAGCCTAAATATAATGAAGAGTTCAGATTGACAGAAGTCAATGAGTCCACTTCTCAAAGTCCATCTCATAGAACATTCTCATGTTGCATCCAAGATATAAATGAATGAATTCATTCATTCAAGATATAAAACAAGGGCATTCAAATCATCTACACTACACATAATGATCAATGGATTATGAATATATTCTAAGAAACATGGCACTGGAGTTTTAAATAAATAAACATCTTGTTTCTTACTATCTAACAGAGTACCTAATGCTTCATACTCGTCACAATTGGGGCTGGTACTTCGATGTACTAATTTTATGCTCCACCAACGCTAACAGTAACATGTGGAAGGGAGTACTGAAAGCATACATGTAGATACACTGTGCATTAAACGTACATGCAGCAGGATCCCACATCTACAGATATACAAGTATAGTGTAAAGCAATTTCTTTAAATATTAAAATCTGTGTGCTTCAAAGGATTTTATTGGGCATAAATCCATCAGAAACAGGTGGTGGGACAGTGAAAGGTGGAAGAAACGAATGGCTGCTCAAAAAAAAAAAAAACAGTCAGGGTTCTTTTAGTCCCCAAGGGCACTGCACTGAGGTAGGCATCCCACTGATGCATCAGCCAATGGATCCCACCTGCAAAGAACACTCTTGGCTGCTGCTTTAACCACCACAGTCTTAACATCTTCATCTGAGCTGAAACCTTTTGGCACTTTCCTGAGAGGGATGAATATGTGGAAATCATATATGGTGATGGGTCCAGCTCATGGAGCTCAGTGGGTCATGGATGGTGCATGCCATATGGAGGTGTAAGTCATCATGCAAGATGATGACACCTCTTGAGAGTATAACCACGACCCTCATCTCTTAATGGTGGCATGAAGGTCTCAGAAAGTCCCACACTAACGTTTTGCAATGATGGTGAAGTCAATGTCCTTGAATTCCAGGTCTATTGAGACGGATAAAGGTATCTAGGTTCACGGTGCTGCAGTGGATCCAGCAGCCCTGGGTGTTCTTCATTGAGGGGACCCACCAGCTGGTGTGTCAACATCTCATCTCCTGCAGCAGTCATGGTATCAATTAAAGTGTCAAGTCATATCTGGATTTACAAAGTCTGGATTGAGGTGTTTTGATAGGGTTCACTTTTCTGAAAAACTACAGACATCAGTATAAGATGAAAGTTTCCATCTATCATTATTATTATTATTAGAGGGGGTGGGTTTCCCCATGCACTTAGACCAGTTACTGGTCCATTGTGCGTCCCCCTTTAATTTATACTGTCGCCATACCCTACCAGTACTGGTGCGTGCTATCAGCCCCGTTCAGCCAACGAGGTCGGCCCTCGGTACCTGATATTTCCCCCATCTACCAGAGGCATTGGAAACTACTTGGGCGGGAAACTTGTTGCCTAATTTTGCTCAGAGGTCTCCTAGAGACATGAGGATCTTTTACTTGCCGTAAATCTACGACACAGGACCCACGGCTTAAAGTCCCTCCTGAAGGACTTTTTCCCTGAATTTTTCCACCCTTAAAAAAACCACGACCTCCGCCGGGTTTGAACCCGCGTACCTTGAGTCACGAGGTGGGAACGTTAGCCCTAGACTACGGAGGCCGCTAAGTTTCCATCTAAGATCTAAAAGTCTGTAATGATGGTAATACAAATATGTTTCCGGACATTATCCATTGCCCTGTTTTTATCCAGATAGACCATCTGATCAGTCAACCCAGCTTGGACATCTCTCCAATCTGGACTCCCGTTATCACAGCAGAAGTAAAAAAACTACAATCCCAATATGGAGCTTTTAATACTTTAATGTTCTGTCTTAGCTCTCAAAGATGGTTTGTGCTGTGCTAAGCTCATATACCTTATCTGGTGTTGGTACAGGTGTCCAGAGATAAGGAGTAGCTCTATAAATTAAAGTATTCTAAAAACTAGAAAACACAACGTTTCAGAAACTGGTTCTGTTTCCATCCTCAAGTGAGGGTGGGGGGGAAGACACCTAATCTCTTAGGTCCCTTAGAAAGAGCTAACCTCAATCACGGGATCAGGGATTAAGGTTAGGTCTTTCTAAGGTACCCAATTCTGAATTTTATTTTAATCTGGAATGAGGTAGGTTGTGGTTTATTTTTATGACACCAATAAGTATCTTACAGTATATTGTATCAAATGGTAGGATAACTGGTGGAAGGCTTTAGAAGGAATCAGTTGTGGTCTAATTGATGTACTGTCCTCATATTTACATGGTGGGGCTGATAAAACCACAAAAACCAAGATTTGAACTCATCATCTCCAGATTAGTGTGATGGACCAGAATGAATAAAGTCAGACTTCTACCCCCAGTGCTTCTATGGAAGGAAAGCTGAAAGAAAAATGACATGCTTTATGAATCCATTAATATGATTGGTACCTGCTGCATATACATTTCAATATGCTAAATAAAAACCTGAGAACGTAAGTAAAATCTTCTTTACACTCAATCATACCAAGTCATGAACACTTCTCTGCTGAAGGGCTGCTAAATGTAATTACACTGTCTCCACCATGTGCAGTGTCAAATCCTCTTGTTTTGAGATTCATTGTGGACGGTTCGGTGAAAAGTTGAAAAAAGCAACAGACACATGGTAAGCTCGATGTAGCCACTTGAAACATCATGAAGTTCCTGCCCCTGCAGAGAACAATGGCATGTGTCTGTAAAATGTACAAACACATATAATTAGTATTAAAAATATTACTTACTTACTTACTCATGGAGCTGAGCCCTTCTGGAGGAGCCACCAATTCTGCAGCCACTCAAGAATTTCCCAGCATTTTATGGAACCCAAAGGTTCATTACCGTGTTCACAAGAGCCCTCCACTGGTCCCTATCCTCAGCCAGATCAATCCAATCCATACCATCCCATCCTATCTCTCTAAGATTCATTTTAATATTTTCCACCCACCTATGCCTTGGTCTTCCCAGTGGACTCTTTCCTTCTGGCTTTCCCACCAACATCCTATATGTTTTCCTCATCTCCACCATTCGTGCTACATGCCCTGCCCACCTCATCCTCCTTGACTTGATCGTTCTAATTATACTTGGAGAAGAGTAGACGTTATGAAGCTCCTCATTATGCAGTTTTCTCCAACCTCCTGTCACTTCATCTGTGTTCGGTCCGAATATACTCAGCACTCTGTTCTCAAACACCCTCAGTCTATGTTCTTCTCTTAATGTCAGAGATGAAGTTTCACACCCATACAGTTAAAAATATTACTAGCTACCTTTACGTTAAGCTGTTATCCTGCATTCTGGTGACAAGACATCAACATGTCCCTTGTTCTGTGTTCATTTCTATGACAACCTCCTTACTAGCACCTATTAGAGTTTTTGTGTTTTTTCTTTCTGGTATTTATGTCATCCCCCAATAAATTAACAGCATCAGCGCAGACCAGAAGCTGATGTGTGGTATTCAATTTCACTCTCATCTGGTTTTCCTGGACCTTCACAGGGGCATATTCTGAAGCAAAGTGGAAATGCAATGACAATAAAACATTCTTTGTTTCAGATAATTCTAGATAGGAAATATATTGTGACATGACAGCTGAAAACCAAAACAGTGGAAAAAAGACGTCCACTGCTAAGTAACGGCCTTGTAAACACGTTTCCATGGAAACAGAGGCTGACACCAACAATGGTGGAATTGCTGGAGGTAAAACAAGCAATAATAGAAGAACTGTTGGAAGAGGTGTTTTCTATGCCCCCAGGCTATAAACTGGGGATCAAAATGGAGCTGCAGTCAGTGGTTAGCAGTTGTGACTGTGAGCATGACTGCTGACAGTCATCAGTGAATGAGTTCTAAGATGAATGAGTTTTGAGTCAGAAGTGAGTGTTAGCCTGCAATAGCAAGACATGACCAGGAGTCAATGGTCAGGAAATACGGCCATGAGGAGCCACAAAACAGTCGGAACCAGTAACGACATGAATGCGAAAGCTGAGGAATCGACAGTGTTGGATGCCATTACCAAGCAATGACTGGTGAAGATGCAGCAAACTGAGAAGACTGCAGAAAGTTATTGTGTGCTGTAGAGTGTATGAATTTGTGATAGCGCTATAGATACTTGCAGTTAACAATTTATAAGTGGTCAATAAATCCAATTACCAATCCAAACCCTGTGTCTAGTCACTCAGCATGTGACAATATCAAACAAATGTTTACCTACAGAAACTTTACTACAGGTTTCATTTAAATACATTTTAATTAAGCTAACTAGTTTTATGGGAACACCAAACTCAATGAAAATATTACACAATACTTCCCTCATATGCATATGTTACATTAGAGATATGCACAGACTGGAAGGTGAGTGAAAATGGCACAGGATCATGTCCAGTACTGTTCTTTGGTATAAGCAGTGTTGAACTTTTTGAGTTCTACTATCAGTGTTAGTTATTAATGAATTAGTCAGTAAGTGACATACGTTCAAGTACCTTTATCACAGAGAAGGAACACGTCTTAGTATTTATTTCCTTCTTCTAGCATCATTTGTTCTATGCTAATAAAGATTAATCTTCTTGGTGATGGTCTTACGACACATGTGACAGATTTTCAGAGTGGTGGAGCACTTCTCACATGCTCCATGGCCACAAAGAAACACCACATTACGTCTTCGTTCCATGCATATGGAGCAACAGTGGGCCTCCTCAATCTCAGCTATTTTAGACTCCAAGTACCGGAGGCGCTCTGTGCTGGGCTGACGTGACTTGCAGGCAATCACACGCCCATCTGTAGCAAGAACAGAAAAAATCTGATAAAGAAGTGATTAGATGGCCAGGTAATCACTTATTAAAGTACTTTAGTCTGAATGAAGAGGCTGGTCAAAGTTATAAGTACACATGCGAATACCACTTTTTGACGCTTAATTCACATACCTTCAATCTCTGTTTGAGTTTAAAAATAAAAACTGACTCTATATGAAAGCGAGGAAAAGAAATCTCTAAATATTAAATGCTGGGAAGGAGGACCATCTTACATCTGGAAAAATACAGCAAGCAGAACATAAACACATTAATATTACTATCTTCTTGGAGTGGCGTTGGGGCAGATTTTCACCAAGTACTTCATTTTCCCCTGCCAATCTTCATTCCACCAATTGCTCCACAATCACCCTCACCTATCATCTGGGGCTGGTACAATAGGCCAGAATTTGCCACACTACAAGGGACTTAGTCCCATCCCACTAGCAATAAAAAAAAATCTTCTTGGAAGTGACACTGCCTTGTCCAGTAAAACATTACCAGTGTCTCACTGCATCATGCTGTCTCTATCTTCACAACAGAATAGTAAATTTAGCAAACCAATAGGAGTGAGTAGAACAATATAAAGAATATTGGCCAATACAGTTTACTCATTTACCCTGAAGATGGAGGCACTAGGTTCCTCCAAAATACTGATAAGGATCTACCAAACTACAAACTACTTCACAGCCAGCAACCTGTGAACTTCAAATGTCACATAAACTTGTAAATTTGTATCCATATTCTGGTCTTCTGAATTGCAGCACTGTGGATATATGCAGTAGGTGAATATTGATGTTCTGTGGGGTGAGAATTGTGTCACACTAGACAAGGTGACAAATGGTGGTCCCTCAGAATCATCAGAGGGGGATAAGATATGGAAATGTTTGTTCCCACCTACAAGATGCCTCAAATCTTGTAAATAATCTGCTTAGTTCAGAAAATAATATTGCCCCACAAAAATACTGCCACCACACAATTTGTCCACAATAAAGAACTGCTTACAGGCTGAGATAGGAGTCAAGCACATCTTACAAAATTCTTTCCAATCATCCTTTGTTCCAATAACAACTCCCCACGAGAATGTAGTGGAAACAGAACAGTTAGGTGACAATTTTATATTAGTTTTCATCTGGTACATATCCGTCCACTATCAGACCAGTAATATCACAGCCTATCTTAGGTATTATTTCTCTATGACTGAACTCTGCAATTAACCTACACAACCACAGATACAGACCTTGTGTGAGTCGCTTTGTGACAAACTGCCCACAGCGCAGACATTTCTTCATGCGAGCTGAACAGTCTTCACAAGCAATCCGGTGCCCACAGGGTTCAAAAAGTACGTTCTCCTCACCCAACTCTGAGCACACAGCACACTCCACTGGAGCAGGGGCCCTCTTCTCTCCTACTGAAGTATTACTACCATCACTGTCAGATTGCACTGAAGATTCAGAGTCAACAATCAGACTCCTAGCTAGTGGCTCATTAGCAACACTGCGAGGTGTAACATACTGTTGCAACAAATCAGCCATTACAGTGTCCTGAACTAGATCTAAGGGGCTCTTCCCCTTGTTATTTTTCTTGTTCAGCTTGCAACCCTCCTGTACAAGATAACACGCTATAGCAAGGGCAACCAGATGCTCCACTGTCCGGCTTGCAAGTTGCATAAAGATTCCATAGATAGTAGGAGCTTCTAACTCATTGATCTCAGTCGAGATGGTCGCACGTTTCATGAGAGCCAGGTGAAGACCTGTATCTCCATCTTCATCTTCTGCGTGCACATCAGCAGACATGGAGACCACCAGCTCCACTACAGAACAGTGGCCCTAGAAGTAAACACATGCCAAACTCAGCTTCCATCTGACTCCAAGCATCTGTCATGTGCATTTCATTTTTACAATTATAAAAGATGTAATATAACGTCAACTACGTGATACTCATTATAACATTAACATACATAACGATCCAATTTGGGGAGCACGTTCTGCAGGTCATTTAAAGCATAACTGCCCTACAAATTAATAATTTAATTTATGATTGTTATCACAAGAGCACTAATGGGTGTGGCAAAAAATAATGAATCAATTTTCCTCTGACATTTTATTATCAGCATGTTCTACAACTAAATTATTATCAAATTCACTAACTGAACTATTATCAACTTAAATAATTTACATGATTTGATGTGAGACTTTATGATTTGAGGAGTTCTGCTGATATTCTGCCACAATTACCCAAACATTTTCATTACAAAACCCATACACAGAATGCATAATAACATACATCATGTTTAAATATGAAAGGTATTTTACTAACATTTTTGTACAGCAAAGAAATACACTAGTCAAATACAAAAATTACAAATAAAAATGTATTATAGTGGCACTGGCATATCACACAACACTAGTGCATAACTTAATAATCAAGATGAATCAAATTACTGATTAGAGGATACATTCTACTTCAAAACAATCTGTAGAACACATTCCAAAATCTGGCCCTTATGTGGTGGGGCACCATACATAGGCCAAAACTTTTACAGATTTAAAGTCTTAAAAAGGAGGAACTGCATCCTAATCACAAAAAAAGCAAAATACTGCACAAAGAAAAATATCTGTCACACAAGTCATTCAAAGCTCTTTATATATTAGAAGGGGCAACACTGCTACCTGTAATGCAACCTGCAACAGTTGAAGTGTATTAACCTTAACTGTTGGGATATAAATCTCCTCCTACTATGATGATCATGGCCAGGTTTCAAGTTGGCATTACTGGAATTCGTAGTGTAAACAAGGTGACACCACACTTGCTGTACTTCTGCATGCAATGGCACACTTGTGTGAGGCATGGATGATAAAGGTCAAATGGTGACGTGGGAGAAGGGAGATCCATGTTATGACCTGTGGGAAATAAACGCAGACACAGTTGTGCCATTTAAGTAACACAGTAAAGCACGGTGATGTGTTCATAACATGCTGCAACCAAGGACAGTCTGTTATGACTGTCAAGGATGTACCTGTGAGACAGCCAGCAGGAGAGGAGTCTGCTTGCGGTTGTTTCGAAGGTCCACCTCTGCTTGTCCTTGTGCAAGCAATGTCTCTGCCACAGCCCGGTGACCATTCAAACATGCGAGGTGGAGTGCTGCAAATCCATCATCCTTCTTCACATCCACCAGCTGCCGAGTGCGTCCTAACAGTCGCTCTGTAGCAAAGTTGTTTCCCTTGAGGGCAGCATGGTGCAGGACATTAAAGCCTCGCTTGTTTTTCAATGTGAAGTCAACACCTGGCACGTTACACAACAGGTCTATGATTTCAACACTGTCCTTCCCTATAGCATCATGCAGTGCAGTGTCACCATAAGAGTCCTGTATGTTAACATTACACTTGTACTTGAGAAGCATAACAACACAGTGCAAGTGTTGCTTATTGACAGCCACATGGAGAGCCGAACATCGACCTTTGTTCACAGCATCAATGTCCGCATTTTGCTTCAGCAGGATCTCCATAATCTCTGGTTGATTTCCAAATGCTGAATAATGCAGAGCTGTGTCTCCATCATCATCAGCAACTTCAAGTGAGGCACCTACTGACAAGAGAAACTGCACAAGCTCCACGTGGCCCTGGTGACATGCCACCTGAAGGCATGTCTTGCCTCCACTATGTCCGTTCACCTTGTCAGGGCACTTCAGTACAAACTCCCTAACAACATCCAGGTGGCCTTGAGCTGCCTCTCTTACTAGTTTATCAAGACTTGTTGTTTCCAGCTGCTGTGACCCCAACACTAGATTTGACAACAGTGAAGCCAGAGGATCTGTAATATAAAAGTACTGTGATAACAGGGAATTAAGAAAGGAAACATATGAACATGTTGAATTCTGGACTGTTCACAAACTGTGCTTAGTTTGCATTTAAACATTAAAGAAAAGTGCCTTTACTCAAATCTCTGTCTCTACACATTAAAAAATAATATTAATTTACAAACAAAATCTAACATTGCTTTTGCTGCAATAAACTAAGCTAAGTTTGGTTCAGTATGCTTACTCTCTTCTGGAGTTCTACACCAGCCTTGTAGAAGTTTACTGAAGTTTCAGAAAAATGTACTGCCTGCAGCTGAAGATTTTTCAACTCTGAATATGGAGATAATACATTCCTCTGAAACACTGGCAAACTTCTACCAGAATACAGATCATAACAACCCAGAAGATCATACATTTCATGGGCACTCTCATGAGAACCTGAAATATTGCAAAATAATAAATTCAATATTTTTCAGTTGCCTCTGTACCTCTATTGATCAGGACACTACCATTCAGCAAAAATATGCTTTTTCCTCATGATTATGCTATTCTGAAATGTGATGCCATATAGTGTGGCACAAGGTTACCTAACTACCAAACTATATGGCATCACATCTCTTAGGACCATAATCTTGAAGATCACCGCTGTGAGGAATTCAAATCTCACATTCATGCTGCCAGTCATATGGGCCTGAAAATGTTAAAGCAACCTGTCCAACTTGTTTGAAAGTTGCTTTTGGGGAACGGAAGAATAAAATAGAGAGGCACCCGCATGAAACCACAGTTATGAGATGTGTTAGTGCAAATATTGATATTTCAGCTATATCAGCTCCTAATTGTTGAGCTGTGAACCCCGGGAGTTCAGCTGTCATTACTTACTGGCATGTTCTTCCCTTGTATTGGCATTCATGGTATTGCTGAGCTCAGTGGCTGAGCCTGGGACAAGCTGCACACAAAGTGGGTTGAATGTCCAAGTCTGACCGTCAATACTGACACGCAGGTCTCCATCTGAGTAGATCTTGATCACCTTCCCCAACTTTCCGAGTGCCTGTATTGAATCAGTTGCAAGACTAAGTTCATACAAGAGACACTTGCAAAATACACACAACACAACTCCATAATAAAAATAAGCATACGCAATAAGTCAGGGATTTCATTAAATTCTGAAAGTATCAACATACCTCACCAACCGAGGATGTTTCACAAATACAATGCAAGATGAAACGAAGGAAGGTAGGTCACAAATAAGATTTACCAGAATTCAGTATCAAATAAAAATACTATACCATGGTTTAAAGAAACAACCCACCCCTTTCATAACTTCAATCCACTCGCCATGGCCCTTCTGGTAGTCCCGCACTGTGGTGAGATCATGCTTGACTCGAACTACATCACCAACAGCAAATGAGTTGACTTTGGTAAGTGCCCCAGGATGAAAGGTCCAGCGGTTGTTACAGCCTTCATATTGGACACGAATGTCTCCTCTCTCAGTTACTCGGTGAACTACTCCCATCTTTCCAATGTACTGCAAAAGAGCAGCACCTTATATGTGACTTTGGCTTTCACAGTTTAGCTGTGCCATGTTGAAAGTGTTCCACTGTTTCTGCATACATCACAGTTATCATCACAAGGGAGAATGAGGATGGTGACTGCAATATTCACCAAAACACATGAACAGCTTCAATGCATAACACAGTCAAATTCTAAAAGCCAAAGTTAAACATTAGACACAAGACACAAAAAGAGAAAGACAAAAGCGATGCAATATATTGACGATTCATGACCGAATTTGGACGTTTAGGAATTACCAGTTTTCAGACACTAAACAACTGTGATAGTTATGAAGGTAATGCCTATGTCTCATGAATGGCAACAAAAACAGTCAATGCCAGTTCTGTTACAGCCAAAAAGTTCTCAACTGCCAATTATTAATTCTGTGTCAATTATCTGTTACGTACGTATTCATACACTAAAAATGGTAAATACAGGCATTTTGAGCATTATAAAATTGCATTTAGTCCTAAGTAAGACTACATACATTATTAAATTTTAGTGTTTCTCTTCAAAATGAAAGAAATATCATGCATAAATAAGGCTCAGACACATTTAAAACAAAAATTTTGCTGTTCATAAATCTCAAATAAAATAAATTAAAAGCAGTATTCATTTAAGTTCCCTCACATATATCTACATATTCTGCACCTGTTGGTCAAAACAGGTTAAACTTTTCCTGAACAATAATACCTCAGCCATACGTGGGTTCCAACCTCCATGACCTTCCTGCATCTGTTTCAGAGCCTCAACATCCATCAGCACCTTCACTTTGTCACCCACATTAAATGTGAGGTGGCGTGGTGATGAGCCAGGCAGCCGAGCTGCCCCTCCCTGTACCTCCGAGGTGATACCTGTTGAATTTACAGCAGATACAAGATAGAAGCTTCTCCCAAAATAAATAAACTGAATATTACAGTGTCACTGTGATGCTCTAAAGTTAACTCTCCACACAAAAATAATCAACAGTAATACATCAAAACTGAAAGCTCACCAAGAATTGGAAGATGGTCACGATAGTAGTAACCTCCAACTGCATCCTGCACATATTTCAGATCCACCTTCCCCTTATGGCCAAGCCTGTACACATTTGTGGAACCTGAGGTCCATGTGACATTGGCAACTGAGCGACCGGACTCATTGTCCCAGCCTCGGATGTCAATCACGCGTCCAGTCTTGCCTGATAACAAAGAGTTCCAAACTTTCTAACATTCAAATTTCATGAGGGTGGTTCAATGTTAACCTGGACTTATTTTTTTGCTGAAGATGTGGGCACCAGAAAAATAAAACAATTTTATGGGCAGTTGGTGGCAACATTGCATCACTGCCTGGGAGGTGGCCATATGCCCTATTTCTGTGCATTAGAGTTAGTACAGACCTTGTCACTTATAGCGTAGAACAGTAATATATCATCAGATTCCTAGTAAAAGGAAAAGTGAAACCAGCACAGTATGGGGAAAGAGACCCTGTCACATGCAAGTGTCCATGATCAGTTTTCTGAAGGCTGCAAAGAAGTTTTAAACCTATCTCATGATCACAATTGGCCAACTGCAATGTGAACATTCAATGTGTCAAGAAACTGATTCTGGGAACCAGGCAAATTACTGTAAGTGATATTGCATCTAACAATGGCACAAGTGTTTGAAGTATAGAAACAAGTATCCATGAACACTTATTGTTCAAGAAGTGTGTGCCTGGTGGATCCCAGAAATGTTAACATTCAACCAGAAGGTGCAGCATGTTGCTGTGTCTGCCAAACATCTGCATCATTTTAAACTGGACGGAAACACTTCTAGAGCAAATGCTGACCTGTGAAAAGACATGGGTGTGCTGTTTCATTCGAGAGTCAAATGAAAAGAGTTAAGAGTGTATTCATTTACCTTCCCCTCCATCCTGATTGCTCCAATCCCAGTCTGGACCCCTCACAACTTTTGCACCTACAAAGATGCCCTTCATCTGTACTTTGGCACAGCCCTTCCTGGGTCCCATCTCAACCCTAGAATGAAAACAAAGGGTCAAAAAATATAAAGTAGCAATTTTAACAAATAAACCATGCTACAGAATTAGTGATAAAATGCAGTAAAAATGCAACTATAGAAAACACTAACAAAATCAGTTAACAAATTAAGACTGTAGTCTTCTGGGATGTGTTACATTTACTGTATGGTAGATACACAAACTAATGTCTCACATGAACCAGCTACCTCTGTTTTCAGGGTAGAAGAGTGGAGCAGAGAATGATACAGCATGGCGGGGAAGACAGGACTTGGGCCAAGGTTATGAGCAAACCAATTTAAATCAATGACCTTTGAAAAACCTGTTATTTCCATGGGAGAAAAAAGAAGTATGAGTGCCCCTTACACTTTTTTCCCACTTGGCTCACTCTTCTACCATCAACCCTTTTATTGGCCACACATGCTTCTTCTTTCCTTTCCAATTGGCAAAAAAATAAAACCCTTAAAAGGTAAAAAATTGTCACTCAGTAACTCACAGCTCATGTGTCAGCCTTCCCTTCCCTATAACACACACAGTTCACTTCTCTACCTCGACTATGGAGAGAGAGGACAGCACAGTCAGTATAGCAACTGTCTAAAGGTTGGCCAGCTGAGAGGACAGTTAGAATCCGGTAAGGGCAAGATTTTTCAACTTTCCATATCATCCACATTGCTTCTAGGGCCCACAGACCCCCCCCCCACCAATCCAATGGGTACTGGGGGCTCTTTCCAGGAGGGTAAAGCAGCCAAGGCATGAAGCTGACCACTCATCTCAAACTGGAACCAAGGTCAAGAATACATGGATCTACACATCCACTCCCCCATGTCTTCATGGTGTAGTGCTTAATTGCTTAAGCACAGGGACAGTTTTACTTTTAACTTGCAAACTGAAGCAGCAGGCTACTCTGAAATGTTGGTACTTAACTCATCATCATCATCATCATCAGTAATCTGTCAAGACGACAGGTCCACAGTCTCTTTCAAAACAATTCCTCCACTTAATGCGATCCGATTGGGGGAGTAGTTTACCTCCGGATTGTTTTGCCTCCAGAGGAAACATCTCGCATATATGGTATCTCTGTTTTTGGAAAGAGACTATCCAGGAAAAGTGATAATGTGGTAGTTTTTCCATTTGCTTTCCACATCGCAGTACAGCAGCCGTTCAAACCACTCTGGTCACGCCTGCTGCTATACGAACTTGAACCATCTCGAGCATCATTTGCTCTGTGCTTCAAGTCGCTNTCTCAGGGTCCTTGGCATACTCAAACCCCCTCACCACGATAAGGTGGAGACACCAACGAGGTACTTAACTACCAAACTATAAAGTATCACTCCAGAAGACCATAGTCTAAAAAACTCACCAGCACAAGAATTTCAAACCTCATTTAGTCTACAGAGGTTTTAGGTCTACAGACAGTTGCACAGCTGTTATTGCTTACCCAATGGATGAAGCAGTCTCAAATCTCTGAAATAAGTGGACCAGGTCATGCTTGTCAGACATGTAGCAATGCGCGCACAAGTCATAGTCATAGCAACGCGCACACTTCCACCTCATCCCTGCGATGCCATGTTTCTTACAACCATCACAGATAATATTGGGGTGCTTCACACCTTGTAACACACACAAAAAAATTTCTGTCTACAGAGTACATCTGAAACCAATGCTAACATATGACCTCATATCATGGATCCTTATAAAGAGAAACAAAGCAAAATCCAAGCTATGAATATGAAATTTTTGAGAAGTATTGAGGGAAACAACTTCTTAACAGAATTGGAAGATAAACAATTATAACTGTATTGTAAAATAGAAGGAATGAACAGACCAGGGATACAAGAAAAGCATTAGAAATAAAACTGAAAGGAAAAAGACCACTGGAAAACCCAGAACAGGAAGATATCAAGAAGAAAATCTTACAAGAAAGTGAAAACAAAAGATTGTAGGAAGACAGATGAGGCTGGATAACTTCCATCCACTGACCTGCATAGAACAGAAATTGTACTAGAAGATGAGACAGATTTAGTTCATGAGAAGAAAAGATTACATTTCTGTATTTCATCAAGAAAACAGCCCATCCACTAGCTATACAATCAGTGTGAACATACAGGGACAGTATCTTAAATGAAACATGATCATCAACCTACGCCCATTCACACTCGATTACTCTGTATGTCACACTGGCAATCCAGGAATAAAGTAAAATGTGGGACCACACCATTTTAACTGTAACTGACATGATTCTGTATTTCAGCATCCCGTTGCAATTGTTCAACTTAACGTCCATTATTTATCGTTCGTCAATATTGTGACTCTTTTTTATTCACTACTTAATTTTAATTTTAGTTTAACATTATACACTTCGACACTACATGTTTTGGCCCCAAACGGCCATCTTCGGGTGTCTTGATATGTTACAAATATTTTATTCAATTATGTTAAAACTGCTACACTGTGTTAGTCCATGTTCAAATCACACGCTGTAGTCCTCTTTTCAAGGTAAAACCAGATAAAATCTGAGGTGAGGTGAAATAATATGTACAAAATAACATGGGTATAATAGAAACTTTAAAGGATTGTATCTGGTCTTACCTTGAAAAGAGGACTACAGTGTATGACTTTAACATGGACTAAGACAGCGCAGCAGTTTTAACATAATTTAATAAAATATTTGTAACATATCAAGACACCTGAAGATGATCATTTGGGGCTGAAACATGTAGTGTCAAAGTGCATACTGTTAAACTGAAATTAAAATTATGTAGTGAATAAAAAAGTGTTGCAATATTGACGGACGATAAATAATGGATGTTAAGTGTAACTGACGTGAGTAGTCACTACAGCAAAAGGGGGTGCTACAATACAATGCAATCAACTTCTAGCTTCCAACAAATCACTGGGCCATTCAACATTCAAGAGTCTGATGCCTGTTTCATCCAGTGCGGCTCTTGTATGCCACACTGTCGGGCGACACTGCGGATACTTGTGGGTTAGACTGACGGAGTCAGTCGAATGTCAAATGTCGTCCGTCGTTTTGATGGAGATAGGCTGCTGGAAGATGCTTAATTCAAGAGAGTTTATTTCACACTTAATATGTACAACTATTACAACAGCAAGTCTGCTTAAGGCTTTAGAAGTGGCTGACTCCTAACTGACAGAGTACCGCCCTATAGGCTAAACTTCGTAATCAGATTAGAAAGCATTTTGGACGGTTTATGTCAGGGTTCTTATAGCCCTGTCCGTGGTGTGGGGACTTTGTGAAAGCTTCCTTGGAAGGTACAAACTTCATCAGATAGGAAGTTTCTAGAACATTCTATTGTTATTTCAGTTGGTGGGTCTTCCTGAACTTTGGCTTGTTTTCTCAGACCTTTAACTGATGTTTTCCAGTGGCTCTGTGAAGGAACATGACTATTCTTATTTGCTTTCCTCGGTTCACAACAAGTCTTGTTTGTCCTCTGGCGGATAACATCGGTGAAAGTATGTGACAACCTATGCTGTTACATTTCATAATTATCATTCAATATTACATTCTGAGTTAAGACAAAATATTACTTATAACTGTAACCATAGGCATTATTACATCCACCATATACCTGCTACATTCATAATAACACAATACATCACACCATCATATACAACAGGGCTATGGATGCTCAAAACACTAGTGGAATGAACAAGCTCACGGCAAATGAATTAAAAATAAAATTTATCCGGGTTATGGCAGATGCTGCATGAACTCCCAACTGTTATGCGTTCCTAGCACCACCATAAAATGAATACTTAGGTCTTCATGACCCTACAGGGTGGAAAGAGCATAAGACTCTCTCATCTGGGTAGCTGGGCTGTCTCAAAGCAGCTAAAAACTGATTGCAGTGTAGTTGCATTACCATACAAAATGTTGATGAGGCCTGGAATCATGGTGACAGGATTGAATATGTTAAAGAATGCACAACCTGTACTGTATAGCAAGTCAAACATAACTGGATGTTCCATTCTAATTTATCATGATGCCAATCAGCCAAAGCCTTATGAAAGAGAGAGACTTGAAGAGATATACCTGCTGGGGCATTGTCTACAACCCGTAGATCATAAGCTCCTTGATAGCCAACACGGTAATTTGTCCGAGAACCAGAATCCCACTGCACTACCACAGTCTTGTCAGGAGAGGTTGAACTTCCTGGCTTTCCAATTTCAACCACAGTCCCAACATGACCCTCCCCATCATCTTGTTGGCCCCACTTCCAATCTGGTCCTCTGACCACACGCACACCAACTTCCAACATTGTAGGATATCACTGTAACAAACACCTAACATCTTTCAACACACATAATGTCACACTATGAGGAAAAACGTTTTCAAAAGATTTAACATCTTTCAACACACATAATGTCACAATATGAGGAAAAGCGTTTCTAAAAGATTTAATACATATCTTTTCCTCATGCTTTGCTTACATACCCGGCACCTACCTTTTATTGGAATGCCTATTTAACCCGGAAGAGGTCGAAACCACACTGAAATCACCATTTTACAATTGTCGTTACACTACAAAAATGTTCTAATAAACATTAATTCATACCACCTTTCGAAGAAAACAGCTTATTTCAGTCACCGTTGACAACTTCATCTCGATACCGACACTTGTCAGTTGAGAGAATAATCGATAACTTTCATGCTGCCATCTATGAATAATTCCATAGCAGAGTAACATGCAGAGGTGTGGGAAATGTGACCGATGTGACGCCGTGTGGTCCGATAAAAGTTCACCGCGATATAGCACAAGAGCCAGCTATTCTTGTAAATAAAGCGAATAAGCCTGAATGTACTGCAAGCATGGACTGGTAATACTTGAATTTTCAAATGAAAGAAAGGTATTGATAAGGAGGTTATGTTGCAGTAGGCATGCTTGATTCAGTATAAATTAACACTACAATTCGAGATGACATACGTGGTCTTACCTTTGCAATGCTTCATAGAATTTGGTAAGTTGCGATCCTATAACGTTAAGCTTTTTGTGTTAAGTTGTATTATTTTGGCATTTTATCATACATTTATTTGCAGCATGGTCTCTGATTTCTTTTATCCTAATATGGGTGGAGTTGAAGAGCATATATTTAATTTGTCCCAATGCCTTATCAGTCATGGGCACAAAGTGATCGTTATGACACATTCCTATGGAGAAAGAGTTGGAGTTCGATACATGACTAATGGCTTAAAGGTATGGATTCTACAGCTAATGCAGTCTTGTCAAATATTTATTTCAAAAAAAGTGGTACAAAGATTATACTATCTTGAATTCACATTTTTTTAGGTGTACTATCTTCCAGTGAGAGTATTCTATAATCAGTGTGTGCTTCCAACAATGGTGTGCTCTCTTCCACTGATACGTTACATTTTTATTAGGGAAAGAATAACAATCATACATGGTCATTCAGCATTTTCAGCCCTGGCACATGAAGCAATGGTTATTGGAAGATTAATGGGTTTGAAGGTAATGACTTTTGTTTCTAGCAAATTAAAAATGAAAGGGCTTCTGAATGGTGAATAGTAAAGGCTATTGCTTATTTGTTATATTTAATTTTGTCTTTGTTGCTCATATAGCATCGCAATTATATACACTGTATATAACAGTTTCCTTATTAATAGAACTATTATTTTACAGACATTGTAGGTTTCTGGACTGAGCAGCAGTGAGAATTTACTGTATTTATTCTGCTCTTAATTTAGTCATGAATGCATTCAGACAATAACTGGGCATTTCTATTGATATATTTTTGATTCTTTCATGAACTTTGGTTACAGCTGCATTCATGTACAGTCCTTGGTTTCATTCCTACATTGAGATTACTAAAATAAGTAAATATTTCTGATAACTTTTCTGCAGCAAAAAGAAATGTGTACTACATACATACAGTAGTACAGAATTCTGATTCAGGGATATAATAACTCCATGATAATTGAATTTTTTTTGCTAATGGGGTCCCTTGTAGTGTGGCCACTTCTGGCCTATTGTACCAGCCCCAGATGATAGGTGAGGGTGATTGTGGAGCAATTGGTGGAATGAAGATTGGCAAGGGAAACCGAAATACTCAGAGAAAACCTGCCTCAGCGCCACTTTGTCCACCACAAATCCCACTTGACCAGACCTGGGATCAAACCCTGGCCGCCGTGATGGGAAGCCAGCGACTAAGCGCTTGAGCTATGGCATGGCCTGATAATTGAATATGTAAATACAATGAATGTGAAAACATTGATAAGGTAGCAAAAGGAAACACTAATAAATTTCTTGAATCAGCCACAGCAAGCAGTGTCATGCCTGGTCACCAAGCAGTCACAGAAGAAATCACACTGCCCTGTGTCATTTTTCAGACGGTGTTCACAGATCATTCTCTGTTTGGTTTTGCTGATGCATCTGCTATTATCACAAATAAACTCTTGGAGATGTCACTAGCAGACTGTAACCACTGTATCTGTGTGTCACATACGGGGTAAGTAATAAGCTAGATGTTTTGCACACTGTATAAGTGTGATCAGGTTTACAAGCTGCTCCTAGTATATTACTTAGCAACAGTATGGAAGATTAATTTAAATTACTTCAGCTGTGTGGATTCTATATAGAGGCAATTTTTCATTTTGAAATTTCTTTTGTTTTTAAAATATGATGCATTATAAATCAAATAAATCTATTAATTCTAAGGAACAATGTGAACTATGTACCACCCACTTTGCCCACAAAGTGTATTTATGTGTTTTGTATCATCAGAATAAACAGCCATTATTTTCCTGAACAATGTTAACCGGTCTGTGATGGAGGTGTATTGTTTTTCCTGTGAGGCAGGAACTCAATTATAGTGAATTTCAGGCTTCTGATGGTGAAGAAAATTGCCGATGCCTTCAACATTTTGTATACCTTCCTCAGATAGGCAGGAATGCAATACACATGGTACTCAAAAGAAAGAACAGAAACCTATTATCCGAATCAGAATTACCCCAAAATCTTATGCACAGTTATCTATATTTCACAGTGGTGATAGATTGGAAGGATATTTTAAATTTAAGTGTGACACTTTGACATTCTCACAGCAGTGATCATGAAAATTGCCATTTTATGGGATGTGATACCACGTATTTTGGTAGACAGTCACTAAACTTTATGATGTCAGAACCTAGAGAACTGTTACCTTTGGATTTCAAATTTTTTTCCTCACACAAAAAGTCAGATACAAAATTAATTGCACCTAACATTTTTGGAATAAAGGTGACTTCCACTGATTTTGACTATACATAGGGCACTGAATTTATGGGTAAAATATAAATGTAGTAATACAGAACAGTGGCAATTCTATATGCACCCAAAACCATACTACAAGGACTATAATGTTAAAGGCACATTCTTGGACATCCCTGGTCTGTTAATTCTATTAAGTGAAAATGGATTGTGGAGAATCATACAGTTCTGAGTTATATTACCTGTATGATGGGGCAAATAACGTAGTGAAAGCTTGAAGACCATGTGGCTCAAGTACTTCTTTAGAACAAATAAAATGCACCTCGGTACAAAGATAACATTTTCCAAACCAGACAATAGTAGGTGAACAGAGAGACTGAGTACATGGTGGCTAGACAGCATCAAATGAAACATAAGAATTCTTGGAATCCAGGAATTGTGGCTCAGCATCACTGACCTACACCAAGCTGTTGTATCACAGCAGACAAAGAGAATTTATTAAATATACCTTGTGATTTTATTTGTTGTGGGCCGCAGACACCGAGTGAATGCTGGGTTTAATAAATTTTCCTTTCATGCTACACAGGAAGGAAAACACAGTACTGAGAGCGAGGGTCCATTGTGGTCGTGTGTCAGTTATACCTAATGCTGTTGATACAGCTGTGTTTACCCCAGATCCTAGTAAACGAAGCACAGACTCAAGTGAGTACTTGTAAAGCTTGGCAGGGTTGCAAATTACAGTTGGAGGTAATGTCAGCGAGACTTGGCTGTTGTTGATGTTCACACCTGATGTAATGCAATCAATTTTTTCCAGTCAGGACAATCTACAGGCTTATTTCTGTCAGAATGCAGATTACGCTTATATGATTTGAAGCTTTCGTGGTGACTCTGCAATCAGGTCTTCTTGAGTAATCAGCTATATGAAGATGGTGTTACTATCCAGCATTTTAGAGTGCCTCTTTCTGCATAATGAGTTGAGAGCCTGACTTCACTCATTGCTTTCACAGTGGTCACACTGGAACAGAACACCACTGATCACTTGATAGTTCCCACTGTTCTCTCAGCAGTCCACGCTGGGACAGCCAGGACCATACTTTGTGGGTATACATGCGGTGTATAGTAACATTACTCATCACATCAACTCCTGACAATGGAGACAGATACATACATTGAAATATCGATACTAATTCCATCTTCTCAATCACCCAAGTCTTCACTGCAAATTATACTTAGTTTACCATAGGTAAATATTTTGCTTTACAACTAGAGACTTTTCATTTCTTGTTCCCATTTAGCAAATGTGTAGTTGTGTACAACATTACTTATGCTCTTATAGTAGGTAAAAGGGGGGGGGGATGCAGTAGTGTAGTTGGTTGAGGCACTAGCTACAAGCCAGAAGGTTGCAGGTTCGAGTCCCAGTGAGGTAGATTTTTTTCAGTTGACCTAATCCTGGGGTCGACTCAGCCTCCAACAGAAATGAGTACCAGGAATCTTCCTGGGGGGTTAAAGGACAGACAGCACATAAGGCTGACAACCTCACTGCCATCTGTGAGCCAATTGTCTAGATACTGTGGCAACCTCGTCTTACAACCCTATGGGCCTCCACGGCCTTTCACAGGGATAGCTTTACCTTTTTTCCTAGAAGGTAAAAATGTAAAGCTATTCCTGTAACAGGCTATGCAGGCCCATAGGGTTGCAAGATGTTGAGGCTGCCACATTATCTAGGCAGTTAGCTCACAGATGGCAGTGAGGTTGTCAGCCTCACACGCTTGCTGTGCTTTACGCCCAGGAAGATCTCTTGTACTCATTTCTGTTAGAGGCTGAGTCAACCCTAGGGCCATAGTGCAGCTGGAAGGATTAGGTCAATTGAAAAATCAAGTGGCCTCATCCGGCATTGAACCTGCAACCTTCTGGCTTGTAGCATTATGTCTCAACCAACTACACTACCGCTTGCTCTTATACTCTTAATAACTTAAAATAAAAATAGTATACAAACTCTAATAAAAAATAATTTATAGAATGCCCACCTCCAGGTAAGGAATGAATACAAGAACTGACAGAACAAGGTCAGCCTTTCATGCATCCTACATCATGAAACTGAAAACCCAGTCTGCAGATAACCAGATTTGTAACCACGAATATGAAAGCATCAAAGAAAATGTTTAACAGCAGCTCTGAGAAGTATGCTAGTACTTAAAGTAGAGTCTACTGTGTAGTGAAAATATGTTGACTGTCCTAATCGTGTCATATTTCTGGTTGCAGTCACAATCGTCGTGATAAGCCGATTGGTCTACAGGAAAGGTGTAGATCTGATGGCTCAAGTCATTGCTGAGATCTGTCCACGATACCCACAGGTAAGCATATTGCACATACTTGAACTTTGTAACTTAGAGTATCTAATGTAACAAATAAAATCTATATCACCTTTAGATTTTCATTCAATTCTGATAATGCACTGGGGCACATAGTGCATAGTTGGTTGAGGCACTATGCTACAAGCCAGAAGTTTGATTCCCTGTCAACTTTTTGAATTGATCTAATCAATTGATCTCTAACAGAAATGAGTACCACCAATCTTCTTGGGTATAAAAGGCGGCCAGCATGTAAGGCCATGTATGAGCCAACTCTAGAAAATGTAGGATCTTTGATGTCTATGGTGGACAAAGTGGTGCTGGGGCACATTTTCTCTGAGTACTTCGGTTTCCCCCGCCAATCTTCATTTCACCAGTTGCTCCACAATCACTATCATCTATCATCTGGGGCCAGTACAATAGGCGAGTAGTGGCTCCAGTACCAAGTGGACTCAAGTCTCACCCCACTAAGAAGAATGATGATGATGATCCTTGGTGTCTCACAATGCTGTGGGCCTCCATGGCCTGTTACAGGGATAGTTTACTTTTTTCTAATGCATTATGTAACAATATATGTGATTAAAAATGTTAGAATATTTTAATGTTACAGCAATACTGCTGAGTTAAAGTTAAATAAAATTGTTGTAATGAAATTATTGGCTTTTACTTGTAATCATCAGCACTTATATAGCAGTGCTAAATACTAGGTCAAAATGAACTTCAGTCTTTTGTTTACAACAAATAGTCATGAAGGGAGAATGACCTGAACCTTAAACAGAAGGAATTTAACACTGAAATGATTGGGCTTGGGCCCCAGAAATGTAAAACTAAAAGACAGGGATCCCACTGTATTGCTCTTAGAGCTGTCTTATAAGAGGCTTTCCTTTTTACCTGAATTTTATGAAAACTAAACATCTTCTTAAGAGTAACATCAAGAATATAGAGATTAGTATTGTGGAGTTGACTGCACCGGTTCAAATTGAGTTTCAGAGACAAGCTTTGTTGTTAGCAGTGCTGATTCTGTTGGATCTTATATCAGAGAGTTACATTTATATTTTGTTATAAGTTACAGCAAAACGACTTGAAAAGTACTGTATAACAAGGACAGTAATTCCACCTTCTGTCACACATGAATGCTTTTCCACAGCTGCAGTTCCTGATTGGTGGAGATGGGCCAAAGCGTTGGTTGCTGGAAGAAGTGCGAGAACGTGGTGGATTGCAGGATCGTGTGACTCTGCTTGGAAGCCTGGAGCACTCACAGGTGCGCGACGTTCTCACACGTGGTCACATCTTCCTCAATACATCCCTCACTGAAGCATACTGTATGGCCATAGTAGAAGCTGCATCATGTGGGTCGGTATCACTGTGGTAAACTTTATGATATTCTTCCCTTATTGAACAAGTGGGCAGTCCTAATATAGTCTTGTATTACAGACTTCAGGTAGTCAGTACCAAGGTAGGGGGCATCCCTGAGGTTCTGCCATCAGACTTGATCTACCTGACTGAGCCAAACGTTCCATGTAAGTGATATAAAAAACAGACAGAAATTTTACTAGAATGTGAATGGAATAACATGGAGTAGAAGTAATTACTTATCACTTATCCACAAATGTAATGAAAACTTCCTGTTTTGGAGTACAGTCATTTTCCATTAGTATCTGTTGCTATTTTACATACTTCATTGATACTGATGTTTATTAGCAGGAAAAAAGAAGGTACAGCTATCCCTGTAACAGGTCATGCAGGCCTATAGGGTTCTGAGACATTGAGAGTCCCACATTATCTAGACAGTCAGCTCACAGATGGTGGTAAGGTTGTCAGCCTTATGCACGAACTGCCCTTTACCCCCAGAAATATTCCTGGTACTCATTTCTGTTAGAGGCTGAGTTGACCCCAGGGCCATAGTGTGGCTGGAAGGATTAGGTCAATTGAAAAAAATCCACCTCATCGGGACTTGAACCCATGACCTTCCTGAACCAACCAACTATGCTACAACATTTATTGCAGATATAAATATGCAAAACTAATAGCAGTATACATATCATATTTCATCTCAGATATATATTTTTCCTTGTAAATTGTTAAATATTTGCTGTATCAGAACTTTAAAATAAAACTTGCAGATTTTAATGGTATGTTAATTAATGCTTGTAATATATAATTGTTATATAATTTGTTCCATAAATCAGTTTTTCAGCCACCTTACTGGAATGTTATCATGGATCATGAATTTTCATTTGATCCCTGGTTTGTCACAGCTCTGTTGCTAGGTCTAGAGACAGCACTTGCCAACCTGCGTTCAGGTAATGTGGTGCCTCCATGGGACTGCCATCACCGTGTGGCATTACTATACAACTGGATGGATGTAGCAAGTCGAACAGAGACCGTGTATCATCGGGTAGCTGGTGAAAAGAGCAAGACGTTGGGATCACAGCTTCGCAGATATATGGCAAGTGGAGTGCTTCCCTTCCTGCTCATTATCAGTCTTGCCCATCTAATGCTGCGCTTCCTTGACTGGATGGTACCTCACAAAGTGAGTATCAGGTTTACCACCAGTATATTGCTGAATATATGAATGAAATCCCACCATGAATCCTATACATCATTTCGTCCTGGTACATGTACATTGGTGAACTCTCCTGTACCAAAGTCTGTCTTCCTACAAGCACCCCTCTTGTTTTTGGACCCACTTTTTCCCTACTTAATTTTGTTTTGGTGCTGGCTTCTCATTACAAAGTTGGATTCAGTCCTAAGTGACTTTATGAGAGATTTGTGGTGAAGCAGCACTGAGGCAGATTTTATTTGGTTTTCCCCTAGCGATCATTCTGTCACTGCTACGTACTTGTCTATCATTGCTCCCTGAGGTGGCCATAGCTTTGTCCAGACAGCACATGATCACATCCTCGGTCTACATGTCTACACCTTCATCTCTGTCCTGGTACTTGCCTGGTCACAGAGTAAGGAAAGTGGGTCATTAATCAGTGACTGTCATGTGCTCTCAAAAGAATCCTATTAAGATCCATGTGTAACACATGTCTTTACCACTCTATTCCACAATTTCACTGGCATTTCTTGACACCTCATCTAAGATCCTGTTGGTTTTCTTCAAATCTTCTTTATTCATTAATGCTTTGCAAAACTTGATCTAACTGCTTGTAGTCAGTATTGTGGCTCATGTAAACATTTCTGTTCCATGTATAAAAATGGGAAGTGCAGTAAAATCCCTATTTAATGTTTCTTTAAGGGGTAGTGGATTTTAGCACTAAAATGAAGATATTCTTAAATTAAGGAAGAAATATGACATTGAGATTAAATGAGAAACATTAAATGGAAGTTTTGCTGTAATGTTTCCTACAACATACCCTTAATTTTTTCTGACATTTTCCAATTCTAAATATCTGATATCTGGTTAAAAAACTTCCTTTACAGGTTCTCTTTAATTTCTTATAGGATTCTTTTTCATTTTCAAATTGATGAAATTTTACTATTCAACTAAGAAAATCTTTGAACTATTCTCATTTTCAGAGTTAATAAAATATTACACTTTTCCAAGTTGATTATTCTCTAATGTTTTTTATTTTATTTCTTCTGTGAATTTTAAACATGCAGTTTATCTGAATATCCTTGATGTAATGATTTCTTTTACAGTATATGCAAATTTCACATAATGCTCCCACATGCTTATTTTGTTCACTTACACTGTTTGTATTCCAGAGTATTGACATTGCCAAAGATTACAATGTAACTAGTCATATTACGGATGTACGTCATTCAAACGGAGTTCACAAACCTTACCAGGGCAAATGGAAGCTATCCTGACACAAGCAAGCTGTTAGCAAACATCAAAGAAAATGCAAGAAAGTATTTTGATTTTAAATGTTATACAAAAGATATTTTATATAAGTTTTATATCAGAATATATGATGTACTACTATTGTTTAACACAAATGAAATAAATATTTCAGTTTCAATAAATGAAACCTTTGTCTACAATGCTTCCCCCATCTTCTCCAGATCTTAATATTCTTCATGAATGTGAAGTGTATTTACTATATAGTGGTGCTACCTGAAAATTGTGATCAACTGTGTAGCATGCAAGATTCATATTCAGAGGTCCAGCTTAATTACAGCCTGGAGACTATTATTATTATTATTTTGGAGGGGGTGAGTTTCCCCATGCACTGCGACCAGTTGTTGATCTATTGTGCATCCCCCTTTAATTATTCTACTAGTTGCCATGCCCTTCCAGTACTGCTGCTCGCTATCAGCCCCGTTCTGCCAGCGAGGTCGGCCCTCTCTGGCAGTGGTCCCCGATACTTCCCCATCTACCGGAGGAATTGGAAACTACTTGAGCAGGAAACTTTTGCCTAATTTTGCTCAGAGGTCTCCTAGAGACATGATCTTTTACGTGCCGTAAATCTACGACACGGGGGACATGGCTTGAAGTCCCTCCCGGAGGACTTGTTCCCTGAATTTTTCCGCCCTTAAAAATTCCACGACCTCCGCCAAGTTTTAACCCGCGTACCTTGAGTCACGAGGTGGGAACATTACCCCTAGATTATGGAGGCCGCTTAAAAAGTGCCCCGGGAGCCTGGAGACTATCCTGATTGAGGTTTTAGCCTTCCCAGCAAACTCCAAATTGACCATTGCCATTTACTTGCACATCCTTTCCAATTCATTGTTCACTAACAGCATCATTAAACACCATACAATCTGTGCTAACTGAAAGCACTATTAAATACACAAAGAATTTAGCAGTACCCACAAACACATCTCCACTTTTTGGTTATGTATTCCATCAACTCTTGTTATTACATTTACAGGATAAATGTGGACGATGGTTATGAAGGATAATTAAGGAATTTTGTTTATTTATTGATGCTGAGGCAACTGCAAATGTTGTACAGTATTCATAAACATGAGAGGCTACCAATGTCCGGTGATTGAGACTAGCTCTTTCTAAGCACCAAACTGAGCAGGATCTTTTCCACCTTACACCTGATCATGGAAATATCCAGTTTCCAAAATAGTGTGTATATCAAAAATGCTTCAAACAATGTCCAGCATGATACTCATGTAATGAATTGGTTTGCTAATCTGTCATTCCAAATTTCAACTCACATTACTTCATAACACATCTGATGACTTTCTACTGAACAAAGATAAATAGTAGGTGCAAACAGATAAGCCCATTTCTCAAAAAAACTTTATCCATATTCAGAGCAGGTTCCTACAAACACTGGTATCCATCTGCAAAACTACATGATGTCACAACTCAGAAAACTGCAATCTGAGCATTTCTTATAGTGCAGTTGTGTCTAACTACCAAAATTTGTCCATGATGCATTAATGACAATGAACAAAGTTTTCCTACTAAAGGAATTTATGTGTTTATATCTATCATTCATCTGTGTCCTACAACTGCAACAAAACGTGCTATTAGTTTTAAAATTGGCCATATCATCACTTCAAACTGCTGAGCTGAGTTCAATCCTGGGTAACTTCACGTGAGACTCCTGGTGTATGACGTGAAACAGCAGGTTTACTCAGGGGTCTTCAGTTTTCCCTGCTACTCATTCCACCACTGCCCAGGCTAATCTTACCAATCCCAGGAGTGTGTGATGTCGCTGTTCAGGCAGCACATTATCACATTTCTGATCTTTAAGCAGAGGGCTTCATCTTCCCTGACTTTGCACTTAGAAGGTCACAGAATAGGAAAATTAACTTTCTGCACTAAATTAATCTGTGAACGGTGTAACTCCTGAGAATTCTGGATACTAATGTCATTAAACTTAAACTTAACTGTTTGGCAATGGTAAAAATGAACATGAAATAATATCTATCAGTAAGTCAAGACGTAACTTCATGAAGCCTTTCTTTGCTGAGATTCATTTTGAAAATTAAGACCCTCCCTTTGTATAGTTCAGTACTAATATGTAATTTCTTTTAATGACAAGCCATTACTGGCTTTAGTTGGTATGAGATAGAAGAAGAGTTTACTTTTTATTCATTAAAAAATAACTTGTTTCAGAGTGGAAGCAGCCACAGTTTGTGACAGATATCTTATTCAGAGCATGGAAAAGGACAAAAGTACTTGACATGATAGCCCCTGTGACCATCTTACAAAACCGTTTGCTACAGGTCTCACTAGAACCAAATATTTGTTCATGTTTTTCTGATTACCCTGCATGTCTGTCCATTTGGTCTCTATGTGTGGCCATGTGCTCTACGGACCCCTGCCTCCACCTCTGCTCTTTGTTTGTGCAGCTCTACATTTGCCTGCAGGGCCAACTCCAGTACACTCCTCTTCTTTGAGTCTGACTCCACATATGCCTGCCACAAAAGATTCAAAATACTCTCATGTTCTCATCAAAATTACAGTCTTCGTGCAGTCTGGTAGACTGGTACCAATGTTTCAGAGGAACATGCTGCCACCATCTTTTACCATGAAGAGAGTGGCAGTAGGTTATTACAAAACATTGGTACCCATCTACCAAACTGTACAGCAACACATCACCATCATGAAAAAAGCAAATCTCTCATACTGTTGAATCTCATGATATTGCATGGATGACTTGGGAACACTGGCCATGAGAATGCTTAAGTTACTCACAACTGAGACCCTATCTGTGGCAAAGATAATTCTGGATTTTCAGGCTCGATTACAGAAAATGTCTTGAATTTAACAAATCTGGGTGTTCATGTATACTTTACAGAAATAAATAATTCATATGCTTTCTGCCAGTGTAAGCAACCTCATAACAACACCTTCTCCATTCTCTTCTCTGCTTTCACAAGCACTCCTCTTGTATCTATACCCAGTCTATCCTTACTTTCTTCTGTGTATCCACCCTCACTTGATTTCTCCGCCTACTTCCTGGTCTCCCCAGTAGTCACCTATTTGACACCTTCACTTTTATGCACTGAAAGGAACCTTACTATGTGCATAACACTGTAGCCTGAAGGTCACCAACCTTTATACATACAGTGTTTCCACTTTAACATGTCACTGTTTTGGATTCTAGTCATTTTTTTATTACAACAAATGTGGTGCATCTCTCCCGTCCATGTCCATGTTTCAAAATAGACAAGTAAAAGATATTGCTTTATTTATCTTAAATTTTTCTGACTACTTCACATTTATGTTGAAGTTCATTACTGTTGAGCCATATAAAGTCCATAAACACACCAAAATAATTTATAATACCCTAGCTTTGCCAACATTTTTATACAGGGGTGAAAGCTGAACTACAGAAACAAAAAACAAAATCAGAATTACAGCTGCTGAAATCAAACTTATGAGATAAATGGCACAACACAACTGGATGGAATATAAAAGAAATGGATACATACAACAGAATTGTAAATATAACCCATACTGGATAAACTTTTGATGTACAAAACCAAATGGATTCAACAAGTTGAGAGAATGCAAAATACCCGACATACAAACCTACTGAAATCTTACAAACTGCATGGGTCTATAAACAGGAAGCTCTCGGAAGAGACTACTAGGCAAATGCGGCCAGAATGGATCAACAGGACTCTTGACTCCTGGACAGCTAAATAATAATGGTGATGATATTTTCTACAAGTTATAAATTCCTAATGATATATCTTGTTGCAAAGTGTTGTACCACCCCTGTAGTTTTAGGAACCCTGAGTCTGATGTCTGGGGTCATGCCCTCCACTAAAATCTATAGCGTGTCAAAAGGTTGACCTGTTTCCACTTAAAAATGTTATATCTACCGCTGCCATTTTCATAAATCAGTGGAGTCCTGGAGTATTTCGTCTGGGAACTACCCTTCAGCTCATGCTGGTGTAACTTGATATGAGGGGTTCATGTCTCGAGATATTGGGCTGCAACCTTAGTTTAGATTAGTTTTTAAGAACAAGAGAAAAGTTGAAGGGTGCATTTTTGTCTGGGTTGTTGCTAGGAGAAGGCTGACCAGGCTTATGTCCGCCAGGGCTTGTATGTAATATACACACAGTTCAATAAATGCTCTATATTCTGTAGTATTTGCTCTTTGTGGTTGGAATATATGCTCAGGCAGCCAACTGACAATCATCATCACTAAATTATTATGCTACCACTCGGCCAACGTAATTCAGTCGACCCACCAACATCTTGGTTCACGACAATCTAATAATATAGTAAAATATCCTAATTATATTGATTCTGTCTATAATTTCCCAATTTGATGAGATTTTATTACCTGCATAGTAATATATAACATTAATAAACATTAAGGCATCAGAATAGTTAATCAGAAATAAATTTACCTGAATGAATGAATGCTCCAATCCAGGCTCAAAATGGGAACTCACAGATTTTGCTTCAGGGTTGACAATGTGATAAAGCTGGATAAGGGATACAGCTTCATCAAGCCTAAAAAAATGTGCCAAACATATGCTGAGGACTTTAAATTTCTCCATCCAGGTAGAAAAATGTCAATCAAGAAAATGTTTTTCTCATTAGCAATATTATACCATATATGTGAAAATTCATAGACCGAAGCAAGCAAAATACTGTCACACACACACACACCAATATGTCTCCTCAAAGTTCCCTTGGCTTAGAATTCTCAACACTATGACCTAAGAAAATGTTTCAGATTCCTCTTACAGCCCACCCATCCCTGTTCTGATTCCATTTCCAATGTATGCTTGACCAAGGCTGCACCATAGCTCAAGCGGTTAGTCGCTGGCTCCCACAGCGGCGGCCCGGGTTCGATTCTGGGTCTGGTCAAGTGGGATTTGTGGTGGACAAAGTGACGTTGGGGCAGGTTTTCTCCGAATACTTCAGTTTCCCCTGCCAATCTTCATTCCACCAATTGCTCCACAATCACCCTAGCGTATCATCTGGGGCCGGTACAACAGGCCAGAAGTGGCTACAGTACAAGGGAGTTACTCCCACCCCACTAGCGATAAAAAAAATTCTTGACCAAGGTGCCTGCCACATGATTAACTTATGTAAGGTTTACTTACGAAAGCTATCAGTGGTGCACATTATAAAGTGTGAAATTGTAGGATGATAACTGAACAATAGACTAGAAAGAATGTGGAAGGAATTAGTTGAGGTGTAATTAAGATAATATCCTGACACTGTCTGGATAGACTTTAGAACACCACAAAAAATCTGTTAAAATAATCAATGTCCTGGTTGAGATTCAAACTGGACACCTTCCAAATACAAGCCAGAAGCATTACCACTTCGGCATACTTGCTCAATAGCTGGTAAATACATGTATACTCCTGACATGGATAATATGGTTCGGAGATAGGGACTAACTCTATCGATTGGACCCAACTGAGTAGGTTTTACCTGAAGACAGAGACACAATCCAGTCTCCGAAACGTTGGGTTTTGTAAAATAAACATGATTATTTTTAGATAGAGACAATACGATGGATAATGTCCAAAAGTAATAATGATTTTTGTTGATATATTGTAACTGGGACCTTGCTTATCAGAAAAATGTTGCACTTCATATAACAGCAAAGCTTCCTGAGAAGCAGTTTGTTGCAAATGACTTATAAGAAGTGCTGACTTGATTATGTAACAACAGATCTCAAATGTAGATTTGTAAGAATCCAGAACTTTAACTCCACACACATTTTTCTGAAGCATACTCACCCCATGGAAAGGATAAGTAAGCCTGAGGGTCAAGGTCACGCCAGAGCTCAAGTGGTCAGTCGCTGGCTTCCACCACAGCGGCCTGGATCTTGTCAAGGGGGATTTGTGGCAGACAAAGTGGCGCTGGGGCAGGTTTTCTCTGAGAACTTCGGTTTCCCCTTACAATCTTCATTCCACCAAATTCTCCATCATCATAATCACCCGGGGCAGGTACAATAGGCCAAAGAGTGGCCAACGTGCCGAGTGGACCCAGCTGGTCTCCACCCCCCACTATGCAAATTTATTTTGGGGGAGACAAGGAATGCGTATAGAGTATTGGTGGGAAAGCCAGAAGGAAAGAGATTACTGGGAAGATGGACAATATTATAATGGATCTTAGAGAGATAGGATGGGACGGTATTGATTGGATTGATCTGGCTCAGGATAGGGACCAGTGGAGGGCTCTTGTGAATATGGTAATGAACCTTCAGGTTCCATAAAATGCTGGGAAATTCTTGAGTGGCTGCAGAATTGGCGGCTCCTCCAGAAGGGCTCAGCTCCATGAGTAAGTAAGAGGGCCTAGTACCTCTGAAGCAAAGCTCTGTACCGTACCTGTCTGTCTCAATCAAGTCGAGCAGCAGACTATCAATTGACTTGTTCCATGCCAAGTGAAAAGCGAATGGACCAAAGTGCCGTGTAGACCGCAAGGAATTATAGTGCTGAGCTCTCTCAACTGCTTCATATGTTGTTGCTGTGACGTCCTGGTATGTGGGGTCATCTGGCTCAAACTGCAGGCATGCTCGATCAAGTACGAACTCATAATTCCCTTGGTCTAGTAGCCGCTAAGCAGACAAGAATTAAATCAGGGTGGTTCCACCTGATAACTCAGAAGTATTTTGCAACCAATCCCTTGAAGAGCTCTTAAATAAATTTATTTCCAGCATACAATGCTTCTATTCTGAATTCTAAGTTTTCACTCCCCATTTTCATTCTTTGTTTCATTTCTGTCAGATTATTTTATTTTTGTTTTCTGTTATGTTATATATCGTCTTTTTCTTCACCTTCTTTACATTTTACCTCTCTTCCTATCTACATGTCCCAATTCTTTTAAGTGTCACAAGTTTCCGATATATGATATAAACTCCGTCTTAAGTGCAACAATTTATTATAGGTCTTTCGTCTTGCGGCTGAAACATGTAGTGTAGAAGAAAGCAAGACGAAAGACCTATGATAAATTGTTGCACTTAAGACGGAGTTTATATCATATATCGGAAACTTGTGACACTTAAAAGAATTGGGACATGTAGATAGGAAGAGAGGTAAANGAGTGCAACAGGATGCTTAAATTTAATATTGTCACAAGTTTCCATTTAGTTTACAACCTTCCCACTGTTTTTATCTTAATCTTTTCCTACCACAAAGCAACAATTTTCAGTGCTGAGATCCCATTTCTTTTAGACTGCTCCTACTGTTTTGCTCTTAGCCTCAGTCCTTGACTACCTTTCTCTATATCACTGACCACTTCTCTACACAGCTTACACTTCTACCCTGTGGATGGAGGCAGCAGGTTCCTCCAAGACACTAGTAAATATCTATCAGACTACATGGCATCACATCTCAGGGAACAGTAATCTTCATAATTACTACTCTAATGACCTCATCTCTGACATATTTCAGACAGAATGTTCAGACATATTTGTAATCTACCTGCATAACAAAATTTCAGTTTAGCAACAACTGCAATGTCATAAACTGATGTGCTTATAACTGAAAGTGCTGAAATTTCAATCATCTGACCTGCCCCATGCTTAATATAAAGATCACAGTAATTTACAAGTTATCTAGAGACATAATCCTCTTACATGTTTTCATGAACTCAGTTTCCAAGTTGTATGGGAGTTACAGAAAAATGTGATTGTCCCTGAAAATATCCTCTTTCCTTTCAAACAAGTAAACCATGTGGGACTCAACAATTTATAGTTTCTTTTGAAAACATAAACTTAAAAATTCTGCACCATTACCAAGGTGATTCTATTACTTACAATAACATTTAATGCCACATTTCTAAACATGTTTAATCTTCATGTGTACAGTTATATTAATTTGTCAATTATTCTAATCACATCAAAATCATTTCTCTGCACTATACCAAACTTTTACCTTTAAGTACTCCTTCTCAAACATGTGAGGCATTCTTAATTTTCTTCCTGAACGGGGAAAGTATGTCTCATTCATGCGATGCCTCTCATCAGGCGTTGCTTTCCGCAATGTTCCATTCACATCACGAACAACTATCATCCGTTCCTTTAAAATAATATGTATATACATCACAGAGGCATTTGGCAATGTACATTAAAAATTCTTCAATTCACTGGAACTTTATGCTTCACAGTTTTAGAAGTTAGGGCAACCCAAGATGAGAAAATTTTGATAAAGAAGTCTCAGCACAAATGAAAGGATAAATTGAGAATGATAAATCTAGTAGCAGTCACTATAATTTTAAAAGTGAAAACATTTTTAAATATCATTTAAATTTACTACACATGTTTTAAGCAACAGTTTAAGAGATCTTACCCTGTCAGAAAAACCAAATGAAATGTCAGTGAAGACAAATTTTGTTTCTGAATGGTCCTGGAGTTCACAATCATATGATAGGACTTCAGGTTCTTCAGTTCGCACCTTCACCACTGGTGGCATCTGTAACTTCCTCTCTGCTTTCTTTTCTGCATTCTTCATAGCCTACATAAGGAGAAATATGCACATTGGTGCCAATCAAATAATAATTCAGCAACAATCTAAGTAAATAACACCACAGTAACAAAAGCTAAAGGTTAAACACTGCTTATATCATAATTGCTACTGGACATGATTCTAAATCAGTTCCGTCCATTTTCCATCCTACTTCCCAAACTATTTACACGAAATCCTTTTTAATATTATCTTCCAAACGTCTTGGACTTCCATACGGCCATTTTCCAACTGACGTTTCCATCAAAGTTCTGTAATCATTCCTTGTATCCTACCATTCCAGCTAAATTTCTGACCTTATGCAAGGGTTCCTACATTTTGCTATCTCAATAATACAAGTACTAGGATATGAGTACATGAGTTGATTCATCTGGTTCAGGATAAGAATCAGTGAACATAGAAATCAACTTCTGTGTTCGTACAAAGTAGAGACTTTTCCAAGCCAGCTGAGCAATTAATTAGCTTCTCAGTGACTCTGCCCCTTGATGTTAGTTAACAATACCAGGTGGCCTGTATATATCATCAATTCTTCATTGTGCAGTATCTTCAAGTGGCCATTTATTTCATCCTCTGTAGATGCAAATATTTTCCTGACCAGTTTGTTTTCAGACATTTGTAATTTATGTTCCTTTCTCAGAGCAACAGATGAATTTTCACACTCACACAAAACTACTAGAAAACCTGTTGTTTCATAAGCCCTAATTATAAGCATTCTGGAAGGTAAATGGGGTGAGAACCATTTCAGAAATTAATAATATGCATTTTCAGAATTTATGCTTCTCCTAACATTGTTATAAACAACATTCCTGTCACTGTTTTCCCCACATACTTAAATTGTGAAATATTCTCAAATGACTTATTAACAAATGAGTTTATATTATGACCCTGCTAATAATTTTGGTTTTGTATTATGTTCACATATGTAATTTTGTCCAAAGAAGAGGAAAATTATAAGTATAAATTAAAGCAAAAGTCAGCAGAAAACAGCTGTTTCTCGAAGGAAAGGTTGTCAGTTTGACTTCACACATGATTTACATTAAAGAAACACCCTGTTTATATCTTTCCTGAGGATCTTCATTGTTTAAACAATATCAGCATACATACTATACAAAGGTAAAGTTGTCCCTGTGCTTAACTAATTAAGCACTACGCAATGAAGATGTATAGGGGAGAGGATGTATAGATCCACGTCTTCTTGTCCTTTGTAGGAGCTGGAGGTGAATGGGCAGCTACATGCCCCAGCCAGCCACTTTAGCCCCCGGGAAACAGACCCAGGTACCCTTTGGATAGGAGGCTGGGCGGACCCCAGAACCGGCATGGATGACGTGGAGAAAATTCTTGAACCTACCAGAACTTAAACCCCGACCCCTTTGTCCTCCAGCCCGTAGCCAGTCACTATACTGACTGAACTATTCTGACTCCAGCATACATACTATGCATAATAAAATAATTTAACAGATTAATTACCTCATCCAGTTCTTCTGTTGTCAAGAACTTGTATTCTGGTGCTCTTAAAGGTACTCCATAATTTTTCGTACGGAAAACTTTATTCAAGTCCACACGTGTCAATTTCTTAAGGAGCTGCTGAACATTTGAATTAAAAAATATTGGTGCAGGATCTCTCTCCTCTGAAAACAAATATGCCAATCAGTAACAGGAATTAAACAACTGCCATAACCTGTAGCGGGTACTGAGATTATATTTTGAGGTTAGGTATAGTTCGATTAACTGAAGTGACAAGTTATAGAATGGTTGTAGTAACTACTAAATTTCTTCAGGGTGAATAAGCCAACAATTAGAGAGAATGAAGATAAATATCAAAACAGGCGGTACAAGAAAGGAGTTTACACTAATGCTATTCACATGCAAACCAACTACTTGCACGCGGACATTTGTAAGCGATTACCTGTCGCAGACTGCTTTGCTGTGCTCCTCATGATATTCAATTTCGATGTACACTGCACTCTGAACAACACATTACAACTTCTACACAACATGTTTATATATATTTGCACTCAATCTCAATGAAGACCTACCCTCACAAACCCAAACACATCACTTCACGCCATCAATAAATATCGATATTTCTTATCGGTTCATTTCTTACGATTTCGTTAGTCAATGTAACGGCCGCCAGCAATAGTCTAATAATCCATGTGGCCAGGGATAATGCTTTTCGTCCTGTCACATTTCTTCACAGAACACAAAAATATAAATACGCTCTGTTACTAGCAAAACAATATATTTCACACACGAAATTTAATATTATCCTTTTTGATGTCCTAAAGATTTGCTGTTTGTCAGGAACTAACAGATTTCGTCTACTCCGTACGTCTTCATGGTATAGAACCACGGGGACAACTTTAACCTTGTGTTGTTCACGCCCCTTCATTCACGTACGGAGTCGGTATAGTCGGGATCGGTCGTGATATCTCAGTCGGTACAGCGACGGGCTACGGGCTGACCGGCTAGGCTTCCAGAGTGATCCAGTACGGTTCTGGGGCCCACCAGTCTCTTTTCCAATTGGTGCCGGAAAAAAAACGGCCGGGACGTGAAGCTGACCACTCACGTCAATCTAGTGGTGAGGTCAAGAATGGTGGAGCTTTATCTCCACTCCCTCATGTGTCAACTTTACGTTTTACCTCTCCTTACAGAAATTTCTATTCCATTCAGAAATAAAATCACTGTTTCCACATGAACGTAAGGGATACAAGAACCTCTGATTAACAGGGAAGGAAAATACATAGTCACTTCATTTCAAGGTTTAAGAAAATCATTGTGTACAGTAGCTGGCATCGGTTACAAGTAACAGAAAATTCGTACACTGTACTTGTATTCCTTAATGAAATATCGTTTACAGCAAACTAATGTATTCGTATAATCATCGCTGAAGAGGAAACTGTCATTTACAAATTCTAGGAGGTCACTGTCTGAATACAAACGTTCATCTGAATTAATCACAAAAACCTTGCCATTGCATCGTCATATCCAGTGAAGCACAATAGACCACTGTAGGTCGCGGTTCAGGGGCCGAGAAGGCCTACCCCTCACACATTCATTCATCATATCCAGTGTCACTTCAGTCCATTTCAGTGAGTATAACAATCGGTGCAGTGAGAGGCAGTAAAGTTAAATTGAATTGAATTGAATTTATTTACATTCTATAAATCCTAAGCAGGTTAGTACCTTTGGATACAGAACAAGTCAAAAGGTTACATACATAAGTACAGGCAATTTTAGCTTAAAAATTAATATAACTTAATTTTACATCATTCTCTATTTACATTGAAGTATTCATCTAAAGAGTAGAAGGAATGAGCATGTAGATAATTCTTTAACTCTGATTTAAACTTTTTAGTATCATTGCCCAAGTTTTTAATACTTTGTGGCAGATTGTTGAACACTTTTATGCCAGTAAAGTAGACTCCTTTTTGATATACTGATAAAGTTGATGAGGGTAGGTGGAAGTTATATTTTTGTCTAGTATTCATGTTATAGACATCAGAATTTAATTTGAATTTATCTTTGTTGTAAACAACAAATAAGAGAAGCGATAATATGTATTGCGATTGAAGAGGTAGAATTTTTAATTTCTTAAATAATTCTCTACATGAATCTCTACTTCTACATCCTGTAATGATTCTAATTATATTCTTTTGTATTTTAAAAATTATTACACTATGTGAAGAGTTCCCCCAAAATATTAATCCATAGTTCATAATAGAATGAAAGTAGGCATGGTAAACCATCTTCAATGTTTCCTGTGACATAAAAGGCTTAATTGATCTCATCGCATAGCAAGCTGCATTTAATTTAGGTATAATTTGTTCAATATGTATTTTCCAAGACAGTGTACTGTCTACATGTATTCCAAGGAATTTTGTATCAAGTACTTTACAGATTAATTTGTTGGCATAACTGATGTCCAGATCAATTTGGTGGTTGTTTTTAGTTGTGAATGATATGTAATGGGTTTTATCAAAATTTAATGCGAGTAAATTGGCTTCGAACCATCTGTTTAAGGATTCAAATACAATATTTATGTCATTTTTAAAGTTTTCAAATTTAGAGTTCTTAAATATTATACTAGTGTCATCTGCATATAGAATTGGTTTAGATTTATTGTTGATGGTTTTAGATAGATCATTTATGTAGAGAAGAAAAAGTAAGGGACCTAAAATTGATCCTTGTGGAACACCGTGCTTTATAATTCCCCAGTTTGAAAATGCATTATGACGGGAGTTTTTATTATTTATTTCAACGCTTTGATACCTCATTTAGCTTACTAATCATTACAGTTCGTTACGATTATGGATTATTGAACCTTGTTATAATTTCGATCACGACTTTTAAAACAAGTATGAGTCCGATAAAAGAAGGTACAGCCATCCCTGTTAACAGGCCGTGAAGGCCCGTATGGTTGTGAGATATTGAGGCTTTCACATTTTCGCTAAACAATCGGCTCACAGATGGCGGTGAGGTTGTCAGCCTTACGCGCCGGCTGCCCTTTACCACCACGAAGGTTCCCGGTACTCATTTCTGTTAGAGGCTGAGTCGACCGCAGGGTCATACTGTGGCTGGAAGGATTAGGTAAATTGAAAGAATCCATTGACCTCATCGGGAATAGAAACCGCGACCTTTCCGCTTGTAGCATAGTGCCTCAACCTACTACGCTACCGCGTGCCCGCAGACGAAGTATGTGTTTTGACTTTATTGTTGTACGTATTACCCTATATGTGTCCTGAGAACAAGGCTCGATCCCCGATATCATTGTTTTGTGAATGGAATAACACAGCACAGTTAGAGATTAAATTAAGTGAACGCGTGAAAAGAAGTCTAGCGGATTTCTTGGGCGTGCCCACATTTTCTCCGACATTCGTGGACCGTTGCGGTTCTGATCTGCAGGGATAATGCATTGCGTTTACGCAAACACTACACCAGTCTGGATTAGCTCATTCTATTTCCAGAGACTTCGACCACAGTTTTCAACTATCGCTCTCCACACAAATACATAACTAACTCCGTGGCTTTAGACCGCAAGAGAACTATGCCGATCGAGCGACCGCCGCTTATCAGCGAAGTTAGAGAAAAACTTTAGTGGACAGAGGGTGTAGCGTGGTCAGCGCAACGAATCCCAACGGCCGTTAATTTCGAATTTCTAGACCGGAGCCGCTGCTTTTCCATTCAAGTATTCTCGTCAATTATCCTCACAAGGCTGAGTGGACTCCGTTCCAGACCCACTTCTTCTCAGAAAATCTGGTATCGCCGGGAATCAAAACCACTACCTCTCGACCTGTAGCCAGGAACTCTGACCACTAGACCACAGAGGCGGTCTCTGTCAGCCTTACGCGCCGGCCGCGCTTTACTCACCAGGAAAATTATTCAGTTAATTCCTGGTACTCATTTCTGTTAGAGACACAGTATTTTTTTTTTCCTTGGCACTACAGCCCCAGTGGGCCTAGGCCTACCTTCATGAACCTCTCCGTTCACTTCGGTTCTTCTGGATCTTACACATTCGGTAGGACTCCTTGGGCGGGTGATCAGCTCGTCGCAAGGCCTCTACCTGTACACAGACACAGAAAAACGCACACAAACATCCATGCCCTGAGTGGGATTCGAACCCATGATCCCGGTTTCCAAGAGGGCGAAGACAGTCCATGCCTTAGACCGCTCGGCTACCGTGACCGGCTAGAGGCACAGAATAGGGCACACAAATCTACGACAAGCCCAGGTAAGAATTGCCGAATTATGATGAATTTCATTAGATAATTGTTCCTTCGTGGACTGATTATCTACCACACCATGAATATTCGTGTCTCATCACTCAGGAGTATGGGCAGCGGCAGAAGCAAATAGAAGGTTCTACATCAATGTTCTTTCTCAGAAGGATGAAAACTTGAAAATTAATACTTTGAGGATTATAACAAAGGTCGGATCATGGTTGTAAGAAACAGAATTAAGATTTATGTCATCTGGAATATGTCGCCATGTACTCTGGTAGACAGTCATCAAAGTTTCGGAGGAACGTACTGCTTCCAGCTTCGGGGCAGAAGAGTCACACAAAAAGTACAGTGATGGGTCAGAGGAGTAGGCATTATATCGGCCATTTTAATTAACCCTTTTACAAGAGCAATGATAACTAATTACGTGTACTGCTTTCTTTAAAGTTAAATATAAGTACTATTCACTCATAGGGTTTCTCTGTGGGGTTCATCTGATTCTCAGAACAGAAAACAACTTTTGTTCGTAAACATCATTAACCAGCTGAGCTTTGTAAAGGAGATGTTGTGTGATTTCTTGGCAATAACATCCGACTTTTTAAATATTCTTTAGATGAACTTTGCTCTATAAACTGCTAATGTATGCCTGAAAGGTTAAACAAATATTGAAGGTATTACTGAGTATTGTAATTCTTTCAGATGATTTTACGAATTATACGAGTAATTTTGTTTTAACTCAGTATTTGTTGATGACCTAGCCAGGCCAACTCTGAAGACAGTTAGTTATGAATGAAATATTGTAGAGGACACATACAATTTGAAAATATCAGGAACTAAAACTAAACAATGACATTTCTTGGACCCCAAGCAGTAATATCTCATGTAGAATAAGCGCAGTCTTAATAGGAACAACAGAGATAACAGAACACGCAAACAAATTTAACTTTGCAGGATTTCAAATTTCATACGTGAAAAGTTACGGAATACACACATGACCCAACAATTCTGTTGTCTCTACATATTCAGTCCGTGAACGCTGTTGACGCTCTCTTGCTAGTAGCGGGGGCAGGCAAAATCAGCCCACAAGTTTTCGTTTTACAAAATGTTACAACATGAAAATCCCCTTTGTTATGTACCACGAAAATCATAAGTAGAAAAGGTTAATTCAAGATGGCGTCAGTACGTTCTCCCGAAACGTTGTTTATCTACCAAACCACGTATGGTGTCACATTCCAGAAGACCATAAAAATCTTCGCCGTGGTATGAACCTCAAATCTGTTCAAAAGTTAGCATTCAAGAACTGAAAATCTAGATGCCGTACCAACAAAAGCGCCGGGATTGTTGCATTACTCGTCCTAACGTCCTAACTTCGTTCCGAAATAATTATATTCGTCTTATGTAAAGGTCAAGATGGCCGGTCACGGTAGCTGAGCGGTCTAAGGCATGTACTGTCTTCGCTCATTGGAAACCGGGATCGTGGGTTCGGATCTGTTTCCTGTGAGGTACGAACTGAATTCTTATATATTATTCTTACACACTGCCGGTCACAGTAGCCGAGCATGCACTGTCTTCGCTCGCTTGGAAACCGGGATCGTGGGTTCGAATCCCACTGAGGGCATGGTTCGAATCCCACTCAGGGCATGGATGTTTAGTTTGTGTGTGTGTGCGTTTTTCTGTGTTTGTGTACAGGTAGAGGCCTTACGACGAGCTGATCACCCGCCCAAGGAGTCCTACCGAATGTGTAAGATCGAGAAAAACCGAAGTGAACGGAGACGTTCATGGAGGTAGGCCTAGGCCCACTGGGGCTTTAGTGCCAAGGAAAAATAAAAAGGTCAGGATGGGGTCAGGGTCTGAAGGGTCAATGCAACCATTGTCTGAGATGATTTACAAGTATTCAGATTCTATACAAACGCTGTTTATCTACAACATTGCTGCATTAATCACTGAGCGAAAGGAGGTGTGCTTGTCGAACGTACATTCTCAGACTGTGGCCTTGTTACCGGGATGCTATGGCCACTGTCATTATACCTTGATCGCAAAGACAACACGACAATTCATTACGTGGAAAAATGACGGTCTGACGCTACGTCTCAATGAAAGTTGTGGCACGCATATTCCTTGACGTCACGGGTCACATGACGTCACAGCTGGTGCTGCTGAGGTGGCCGAGTTCTACGCAGTATAGTGCACGGTGTGCTACAGACGGGGTGAGGAAGTGTAGTGGTAAGGTATGCTGACACTGTGATGAGAGGGCATGGACATTTGCGGTCTGCATATATTACAGCACTTCGGTGGTAAGTCACGTACCGTCCTCAAACTAACAGTAGGTAACGGCGTTATTTCTACTTGACATTTTCGATTTGTTGCTCTGTTAAATGGTAATATCGTATGTTTCACGGCCCATGTAGATTTAGCATGGATCTAAAAGGAAAACGTGTATTTAGTAGGGACTTATAAAGAAAGTTTTATTATCTAAATGACGCAAAATAATATATTTTATACCTTTTTTTATATGTTATCCTTGGCATACTCTTATGATGCAATATTTCGAAGTGCTGTCATTTTCTGCAGAGATTTGGCTTTGAACGTGTCTTCCTTCAGATAATGACGTATAAGTTACATAATGAAAATTGTCGTTAACTCTTGTTTTCATCCCATCATTTTTAAACAGTTTTGTTAATTTTAAGAAAGTGATTACGGTTGTAACGTTCCCGGTTTCGGCAGATCTGACCGGACCCGATCGTGGAAGGAACACGTGTGTTTGTTTATTGCTAAGAGACAATTAGTCAAGTCGCGTGTTAATTTCATCACTTGGCCAACTCGCCTTCTCGCCAGACTGCACGCAGTGAGGGATGCGATGTCTGATTTACTCTTTTTGAAGCAAGGTGGTTATTATACAGAATAAGCATGTGCATTGGAATATTAGAAAACCCTGGATTTTGCCAGCAGAGCGTGTTTCGTAATTCTGAGAATGAAGAGCGACTATTTCCCCAAGCAGTATTAATCGGCTGGTCTTTGCAATGGAAAAGCATTGTGTTTTCTGTTAGCTAGGAGCCGAATTTTCAAATATTATTTATACGAATTTCGGGTTTCAAGGTATTCAAAGACATGAGGCTATTTCTGTGGTGGCCAGTACTTAATGTTCATGCAAATATTAAATATCACGAAAAACGTGCTAAATCTAATTGTACGTAAAAAGTACTGTTTTCTCAGATGTAACGCTGTGTAATCTGATAGAAGTTTACCGATGTTTCGGAGTAGCGTACTGCCTCCATTTTCAGGGTTGAAAAGTAAGCCAACTAACAAGAAGCAGAAGGCACGCAGAGGGCCAATTTTTTACTTGGCTTACTCCTCCGCCAAAAGATGGAGACAGTACGTTACTCCGAAACGTCATTGAACTTCTACCGGACTACACGGCATTACACCCCGAAATATAATACTTTTCATAGTCACTGCCGTAAGAGTCTGAGATCCAACATAATTGTACGCTTAAATTGTTTGTAAGTATTCTTTTAAGGGGAATTTCCGTGTTACTGGTTATATGCTTTGCTGAAATGCCTTTTTATGAACCATAAAAAATGCTTTATAATAGTTTTCTTAGAAAGGTATGTTACAAAATCTGTGAAAAGTTTTCAGTGACGCATTTACTGCGCAGTGTGGGTCTGAGAAAACGACGGTGCCTAACTCCCTCAGTATCCCCAAGTTACCAGAGGCTTCTGTAATTTCACTCAACTAATAAGGATTCAAATTCATGCCCTAAGACTCCACCGATCAGAGTTGCTAAAAGTTCCTAAGGGCGAGGGCATATCAAGGAAACTGGCAACCGCAACGCAACTGCAATTTACAAGAATTGTTATCAGCCTGAGTTGAACACACGTTACTGAATGGAGCCGCGCATATTGAGGAAACGGCAATGCAGTTTCCTCAATATGCGCTTCTCCATTCAGTAACATGTGTTCAACTCAGGCTGATAACAATTCTTGGAAATTGCAGTTGCGTTGCGGTTGCCAGTTTCCTTCGCATGCCCTTGCCCTAACACGGAGATACAACTAGGCTGCATGTATAGGCCTTCTGTTCCAACGTGCCTAATCCCATTTGACAGATTCGAAAATGGCACCTCCAGAATAACTAGTCTAGAGTTTAATCTTCTTAGTTACTTAAGAAATAAACAAAAAGAAAACTAGTATTATATGACTGTAAGAATTTATAAGAATCTCAAATTTGCCTACTGTATTACATATTCCCATATTTATTTTCATCTTAAATGGTAGAGTGAGGCCTTCGAACATCACGGAATTTTTATCGGGAAAGTTTCAGGAAGGATATCACTCGAGAAACCAAGATACCAGATTGATATTAAAATATTTTTTTTTTTCTCTAAGTAAGATATGGGAGTGTGGACTGGATTGATGATGGCCAGAGTAGGTTCCAAGGGTCGTGCTTTTGTGTATGCGGCAGTGGACCTCCGGGTTCCATAAATGGAAGAGAATTTCCAGGCCAGTTGAAATGTTATCAGTTTTTCAAATCTGCCCTGCGCTATGGAGTTCAGCCTTCGTTTGTTGTCTTCAGAGAATCTAAGAGTAAGGTGCAGAGTTGAAATATTGAAAAAAAATAATTATAGCTCACTTCATGCTGTTCAGAAGCATTTATATATGGAGGACAAAGAGATCCTTATCAGTATAACGCCTCTGTGTCTAACCACCGCGCCATGAAGGCGTGAAGTCGACGTGGAGGTAAATATTCTGATGCTCCAGCCGCTTGACCCTCGGAGACCGAATCTGCATTGTTCAGTGTAAGGACACAGCAGGCCTAAGAGGAGGTCTGGGGGCGTGGCAAAAGAGAGATATCTCTGTTTTAGTCGGTAATTGAACCGCGTTCGTGGCCACCCACTTCAGAGGACGAGGTACTCCTTATCAGCGTTGCATGATTGATTAATGTGGCTTGACAGTTTTAAATGCAAGGGCAGATATGTGATGGATGTCACCTGATTCTTTATTGGCACGTCAACAGAGGGGCTTGCAAGAGCGCTAGTTCCTGATAGTGAGCTGCAGTAATCTGCATCCAAAAGTACGGACGGGTTATGCAGCTGTCAGCTCTTTCCCCAGCAATTGGGCCCCATTTTCGAGCTCCACTTCTTTGGCATAGTGAAGCCTTCAGACATCACGCAACTGAAGTCAGAATGTGTAGGTGGCTGTTGATTTATAACTCAAGAGTACCATATATTTCATTCCATCACTGTATTCTAAATATGTGTGTGCTTGTTTTAAGTGGAATTGTTTTGTGTATGACTGATGTAGTAGTCATTTAATAAGGATCTATCAACTGCAGATGGTATTTAGTGCCAAGTGAGACTTAACTGAGTCGTTGTTGACCTCTTTAAGGATCCGTTTGCGACATTCTCTCAAGGTATGGGAAGTGTTGCATGATTGGTCGATAAGTTAGCAGCATTGTATATCTCTAGATGCTGCTCAGCATCGAATGAAATGTGAAAATTGTTAAGAACTGGCATAACGTCCTTTGAAATTTGAATTTCATGTTGTGAAGAATAAACTTTGTCAGAAATGCTATATCTCTGTAACTTTACAAATTATAGAAATATAGGCAGATTTGTACTAAAACACTTGACAGAATAATTGTACGCACTAAGCAGTGTTGCTGTCTTAGAGGATTTATTTGGCAGAGGCATTCATAAGAGCCCACCACTGGCCCTCGTCCTAAGCCAGATGAATGTAGTCCACACCCTTACAGTACTTAAGGCAAATTTAATTATGTTCCTTCCATCTTCGGCTAAGATTTCCAGCCGGTCTCTTCTCTTAGATTTTCAGACTAAAATTCTACATGCATTCTCATACTCATGCCATGTAGAGCTCACCAACCTTGATTTCATCACCTTGGTAATACTTGGTGAAGAGTATAAACTGTGGAGTTCATTGTGCAACTTTCTCCAGCCTCCCTTTTGTCCCCCTCCGTAAAAAGGTAAAGAAGTTAAAGGTATCCCTGTAACAGGCCGTGGAAGCCCATAGGGCTGTGAGACGTCGAGGCTCCCACATTTCTAGACAATCGGCTCACAGATGGCGGTGAGGTTGTGAGCCTTACGCGTCGGCCGCCCTTTACCCCCAGGAATATTCCTGGTACTCATTTCTGTCAAGAGGCTGAGACAACCGCAGGGCCATAGTGCGGCTGGAAGGACTAGGTAAATTGAAAAAATCCACCTCATCGGTATTCGATCCCGCGACCTTCCAGCTTGTAGCATAGTGTCTCAACCAAATACGCTACCGCATACCCCCTATTCCCCCTTCGTAGGTCCAAATATTATCTTCATTTTTCTTTTCTCAAACATAATCAGTCTGTTTTCCCCTTAATGTGAGAGACCAGTTGTCAGACCCGTGAAAGCAAAAGGCATGTTTATTGTTCTATACGTTTTTAGGCAGCGCGCAAGAAGATACAGGTTCCTGAACTGAATGACACGAAGAAGTCCCAGTTCAATATTTATCGCCCGTAAAATGTATCGACTTGACACTTTAAACGGCTCTTTCGTTTACTGCCGGTTGAGAATCCCTCCATCGGATTAAATATTGCAGGGACACATTTGTACCACCAACACAACCCCTTGTTTACGTGTAAAGTCAGTCGGTCTAGTATAGGAAGCTAGGGAAATGTCCGAAGGTGAGCTTAAAGCTGAAGGTATCATAGAACTGGGTCAGAACTACGCAGGTGCCTCTGAAATATTTACTTCTCCTGGAACGAAATTGTAGGCCAGAGAATGAGTATTCCATATTTATAGAGTAGGGCCAAAGGAGGCATCTAATATCTGGAGGGACACGATGTTAACAAAGCGTTTCAAGTTTGGAAACATTATATAAAACCGTCATATTTTGAAACGTATGTGTTTACTGCCCTTATCGTCGTGTTTACTTTTCAAAACACTAAATATTAGGATATACAATACATTAGGTTTAATTTTGACAGTTCTTTTATGCTTATGAAACATGGTCTTATTCTGAGGGGGGAACATATCTTACAGTTTTTTAAGAACAGAGTAAAAGTAAAGATAAAGCTATCTCTGTAACAAGCCGTGGAGACCCATAGGGGTGTGAGATGTTGAGGCTCCCAACATTTTCTAGACAATCGGCTCACAGATGGCAGTAAGGTTGTCAGCCTTACGCGCCGGCCGTTCTTAACCCCCAGGAATATTCCTGGTGCTCATTTCTGTTTAAGGCTGAGTCGACCCCAGGGCCATAGTGCGGCTGGAAGGATTAGGTCAATTGAAAAAAATCCGCCTCATCGTGACTTG